AGGAGTTACACGTGGTTGTGAGCCACCAGGAGTTACACGTGGTTGTGGGCACTGGTTCACTGAACTCAGGTCCTCTGTGAGAGCAACCATGCTCTTAACCACTGAGCCATCTCTTCAGTCCTGAGACTCATTCTTTCTTTCATTCATTTATTCAACATCTCCTGAGAAATGAACAAAAAAAATATCACTCTCTGCCACCAAGCCCTGTCCAATCCAGTTGAGGGAGAGGAATAAGTAAATGTGAGGTTCATCCCGATAACTCTAAGAATGTGGTATAAGGAAATCCAGCAGAGCAGGGGTTCTGAGGTGATCCAATGAGACGGGTGGTCAGGGAAGACTCTCTGAGGAAGTCACGTTTGGATGTGACCTGAAGGAGCCAGCCTCGGAAAGATCCGGGGAAGCACAAAGATCCTGAAGCGAGAAAGGCTTGGCAGCTTCAGAGGATTAGAAAGGAAAGCTGGGGGTCGGGGTGGGAGTGTGGGGGGCTGAGACATGGCTCGACAGGATGCTGGCTGCTCTTGCAGAAGACCCAGGTTCCATTACAAGTACCCACATGGTGGCTCACAACTATCTGTAATTCAAGTTCCAGAGAATCCGATAACCCTCTTCAGGCCTCCTCATGAAGGTGTTGCATAGACATGCATGCAGGCAAAACACCCATACATATAAAAGAAAGATAAATAGATCTTTAAAAGGAAAAGGAAAAAACTGAAAGCAAGACAGACGGTTGGAGCACGTGTGGAGGGAGAGCGTGGAGAGAGATGTGACGGCGCAGGGGTGGACTCGCGCTCTAGAGACGCTGCTGCCACTTGAGAGGCTGGTCTCCAGTGGCACTTAACAGTCCTTAGCACATGGCCAGGTGGCATCTTAATGGGGGGGGGCTTGGATACCGCAGGGTGAGTGTGTAAGTAGCCCCTCTCCTACAGCCCTGGCCCCCGACTTCAGGCAGAACCCTGTGAGACGGCTGATCCCCGCAGCTCGCGGGGGAGAAGTCAGCATCCCCTGCCAGCCGCGCGCGGCCCCAAAGGCCACTGTGCTTTGGAGCAAGGGCACTGAGATTTTGGGGAACAGTTCCAGGTAGGTTCTGTGTGCCACAGCTGAGACGGCTTCTTGTTGGTCAGTCCCCTTTCCACGCCCACGGTGTACCTATCCCTGGGGTGACTAGATCTTCTGTGTCCTTGCTGCAGAGTGACTGTAACCTCAGATGGCACCTTGATTATCAGAAACATCAGTCGATCGGATGAAGGCAAATATACCTGCTTCGCTGAGAATTTCATGGGCAAAGCTAACAGTACTGGGATCCTGTCTGTGCGCGGTAAGGACCGTGGTCTGTTCAGACCCTTGGTCCGTTGCCAGGGTGCTCTTCTGCCAGCCATCTGCTCCTGGCTCCGTATATTTCTGCCTCCAAGGCTACCTCAGAACTCAGTTTCTCTTGGGATCACCCTTGGCCAATCTCCAGAAACTGGTTGCTTATGAATTTTCTTCTTGGGGTACAGGACAGGGCCTTTCCCCTGCCTGGGGCATTTCCATCCTTTTACACCAAAGAGCCTTATTTTGTTGTTGCTATTTTGTTTTGTAGACGCAACCAAGATCACTCTAGCGCCTTCGAGTGCTGACATCAACGTGGGTGATAACCTGACTCTCCAGTGCCATGCCTCCCATGACCCCACCATGGACCTCACCTTCACCTGGACCCTGGATGACTTTCCCATTGACTTTGATAAGCCTGGAAGTCACTACCGGAGGGCCAGTGTGGTAAGGCCAGAGGTCTCATAACTCTCCCTTCTTCCAGATAAGACAGGGGACCTGATATATCCTCAGTCATTACCACCTTCAAGCCCTCCAAAATTCTCCCTAATGCCTGAGGCAGCACCCAGCAAGCCCATCCTGGGACTGACAGCCACCATTCCTAAATCCCCCCAATGCCGATTCTTCTGAGTTAGAATCAGCTTTAGCATTCTGGGTGACCCAGGAATCCTCTCTGCTACTGTCCCTCTTCCCCGGTACAAATACCGTCAGTAACTTGGCCCATGCAGGCTGTTTGATGTGTCACACTTTATTGTTCAGTGGTACCAAGTAGCTGATTCTTCCCATTGAACAGATAGGGAAACTGAGGCACAGTGGGCATACAAGCCATACAGCCAGAGAATCCAGGTTCTGTTGCTACTAGTCAGGGCTTCCTTCTGACTCATCATACCTTGCTGTTATCTGTGCACAGAAGGAAACTGTTGGGGACCTGACTATCCTGAATGCCCAGCTACGCCACGGAGGGAAGTACATGTGCATGGCCCAGACAGTGGTGGATGGTGCATCCAAGGAGGCCACAGTCCTGGTCCGAGGTGATGGGAGTCAGCTACCCCAGTTCCCTGAGAGGTTCTAGGCCGCTTCACTCTCCCCACCTCCCGTCCCTCCCTGAAAGCTGACAGAATCCACAGAGATGGACACATTTGTTTAGTTCTTCTGTGGTTCTTCGTGGATCCTAAATGAATAGAATGTTTCTTTTGAAACCATACTCAAGAAAGAAAATGTTCCCTAAATGCTTCAAGACTTCTGCTGAGTCCAGGAGTTCCAGATTTGGTGCTGGAAAATCTATACATCCCCTTATGGACAGTCTGGGACCCTCCAAGCCTGAGACATGTCCCTACCCACCATTCTCCTCTGTCCCTAACCCCTGGCTTCCCACCCAATCTAGATCTGGAGAAAACCGACTCACTGGGAGCCGTCCACTTCTGACCCAGTGTACTCTGCCTCTCGGTACAGGTCCCCCAGGTCCCCCGGGAGGTGTGGTAGTGAGAGACATCGGAGACACCACTGTCCAGGTTAGCTGGAGTCGTGGATTTGACAATCACAGCCCCATTGCCAAGTACACGCTGCAGGCTCGCACTCCTCCTGATGGGAAGTGGAAGCAGGTTCGGACCAGTAAGTGCGAGGCCCCTCCGGGACTGGGTGCACAGCAGGACGGGGGTCAAGAGCTGAGCCCAAGGCTTCAAAGAGAATTAAGTTTTGTTCTTTATCTCCAGGGGGCACCTAGGCAGGCAGGGAAACAGTCATAACCAGTGGGAAGGTAAGGAGAGGATGGAGGAGGCACTTGGTTTGTGCCCTTGATGCCTTCAAAGGATCGTTGCTGGAGATGCCAGCACGCTCAACATATGTGGAATGAGGGGCACACAGCATTAGCAAAGGCCCCGAGGCATCCAAGCTCAGCAGCTTCTCAGTCAGAGTGACTGAAAGCTTAGCATGTGGTAGTACATGATGACAGAATATGAAGGTTACACAGGCCCAGAACCTGCCCTCATCCCGGCAACAAATGGGTGCTAGCCACTGACCCCTGGGGCCTTGCAGATCCCGTGAACATCGAGGGCAATGCCGAGACTGCCCAGGTACTGGGTCTCATGCCTTGGATGGACTACGAGTTTCGGGTTTCAGCTAGCAACATCTTGGGCACCGGGGAGCCCAGCGGACCATCCAGCCGAATCCGGACCAAGGAAGCAGGTGAGTGTCTGGAGTTCTAGAAAAAGCGCTCAGCAGAGAGTGCCCCTAGCAGGAGCTGGAACAAAGTCCCAATCTGCTCCCCAGCCCTGGGCTCTGATGTGGAGGTAGAGGCTGCTGCATGGACAAACTGCCTGATCCAAACTCCTTGCTGGAAAACACGCCTGCCAGTGGCAGATCCATAATCATTGTTTCAGCTGAGTATTTAAAGACAGGAAAACTGATTTGAGCAAGGGAAGAAAGGTCGCACTGGGAGAGCCTGATCTTGGACCTAGGACAAGAACCTTGAGCCATTTTTAAAGGCTACACAAACTGCAGAAATCACCTAATGAGGAAGATGTCTGTGAGCGTGTGTACACTTGTGTGGGTGCGTACACACGTGCAGTGAGGGGCTAGGGGAGCAGTCAGATTCCAGGCCCTTTTGCGCTGGTATCTGTGGAGCGGAAGGGATAATAATCTGTCTGTGACTGTCAGTGAACATGCATGTGTGTCAGAGCCCAGATAGGGATGCGCACGCAGAGAGAACCAGGAAGGGAGGCACATTGGCTGTGTCAACTGGGTCACCTCTCACCACTCCCAGGGCAGGGTCTGGGATCACGTGATAGCATCATGGTCAGGATCTAGTCCCCCTCTGTCCATCTGGTCAGACCTGTGCTTGTGTCTGGTGGAGGGTCTACCTCCATTTTTCCCTTAAAGATGCTCTCCTACCTGCTCCGGGCTGCCGCTCCAGGATCTGAATCCCTCAACATTCAGCATCTGTCTAGAGTAGGAAGTTCCAGAGGGCATGTTTTCTGACCGATCTTCTTGGGACTCTGGGGTGAGAGGGGTCTCTTTGATTCTAGCATCTCAGAAACCGATGGGCACAAACAGACGAAGGGACAATAATGATCTTCCTTCTTAAAAATCATAAAAGCAGAGATCCCAGTCCTGCTGGGCTAGGTGTTAGCCAAGTGAACTTGGGCAAGTTGCTTAACTGTGCCGGGCCTCCGGCTTTCTGTCCTGAAATGTGCTCCTCAGAGGATCAAATGCAAAGCTACGTGATCGTGATGTAAAATCCTCTGCGTACTGGGTGCTCTGCAGAGATGCTCAGGACCCTAGCTCTCTGAGCTGTTGGAGGCCAGTCTTGTGCTTATCAGTCTCATTTAATACTAAAGATGGGGAGAGTAAATCTACCACCAAAGAAGAAAGAAAGGAAGGAAGGAGAGAGGGAGAGCAACAAGGGAGGGAGGGAGGAAGGAAAGAGAAAGGAAGAGAGAAGGAAGGAAGGAAGGAGAGAGAGAGAAAGAGAGGAAGGAAGGAAGGAAGGAAGGAAGGAAGGAAGGAAGGAAGGAAGGAAGGAAGGAAGGAAGGGAAGAACAATAGCAATAGAATACCTTGGAATTTCCGGTAACAAAATTGGTTGGGTTTTGTTGTTTCCATTAACTGTAATTCAAAGCTCTTTATACCCATCAGCTGGAGCAAGTTGGAGTTGGTCTCTGGTTTAGCTAAGCCAGCAGGGGTGAGGGCAACATACAAGAGTAGCACTACATGGTGACGGGCCTCTCATTTAAATTCTCATTTCAACCTTGACAGAGACATTGTTGTCATCATATGGAGAGGAGAACCCAATCCCAGAAAGGTTAAGTAGCTTGCCCAAGGAAGCACAGCAAAGACGGAAATTGTTCTCAGGCTGGCTTGACTCTGAACCCATGCCCAGAAGAACTATGGGAAGATAAATTGGGATGTCCCACTTAAGATGCTCTCTAGGCACGTGCTAGGAGATTTCCCCACTAACATAACACATCTGTGTTCCTTGACCCTAACAGTTCCCTCAGTGGCACCATCAGGACTCAGCGGAGGGGGCGGAGCCCCTGGAGAGCTCGTTATCAACTGGACTGTAAGTGCGCAGGGACAGAGAAGCAGGCAGGCGTCTTCCCTCTCAGGAGTCATGCTCCTTTCGCCCCTTCCTAGTTTGTCTCCAGACACAGTGGCAGCAAGCAGAAAGGACCACTGAGTCTCACTTGGAGGCTGGCGGCTTCCCTCCCTCCCTTCTCCCCCTTGCACCTGTAGCCTCTCAGGAAACTCTTGAGAAGGCACGAGCATCCCAGGGCCACTCCTCTGGGTGAAGTCTGGGCGGAGTCAGATGAATGGGCAGGGACACATACCCATGATCCCTGGCCCATACCATGCTCTTGCCCCCAGCCCATGTCACGGGAGTACCAGAATGGAGATGGCTTCGGCTACCTGCTGTCCTTCCGCAGGCAAGGCAGCTCCAGTTGGCAGACTGCCCGGGTGCCCGGTGCTGATGCCCAGTACTTCGTCTACAGCAATGACAGCATCCATCCCTACACACCCTTTGAGGTCAAGATCCGAAGCTACAATCGCCGAGGGGATGGGCCTGAGAGCCTCACTGCGCTCGTGTACTCAGCAGAGGAAGGTGGGTTGGTGGGCCTGGGAAGGAGAAGGGATGCCCTATGGGAGGAGAAGCAAGCCTAGGGTTTGCCTCGGGTCCCTAGGATACCCCAAATCCTAAGCAGATGTAGTCCTAGTCAGGGCAACTCTGTGGGACACTGAGGTGTCTTGGGAATGTATGCCCATTCTTTATTCGTTCCCAGAGCCCAGGGTGGCCCCTGCCAAGGTCTGGGCCAAGGGGTCCTCATCCTCAGAGATGAATGTGAGCTGGGAACCTGTGCAGCAGGACATGAATGGCATTCTCCTGGGGTATGAGGTGAGCACCAACTGAGGCTGTGAAGAGGTAAGGCTGGGCTCTCCAGAGTGGGCGGGAACATCTGCCAGCCTACCAGTCATTTTTCCTGGGATCGCTAATTCCTCAGCAAGAGGATCATTTCCCCGCCAGTCAACCATTTCCTCTTTCACCCCATACCCTGGACACGTCCCTTGGTCTGGACACTCTCTTGAGTACCCACGTGACCCTGCTTTCTGGGTCTGCTGACCTAGAGTGCCGGTTATCGAGCTAGAGTCTACGACAGGACCAGCCTGGGTGGCGGAGAAGCCTGAGAACTGGGTAGCCAAAAGCTTTGCCGTACACGTTATCATCCCTTGCCCGTTTTAGATCCGCTACTGGAAAGCCGGAGACAAAGAAGCAGCCGCTGATCGCGTGAGGACCGCGGGGCTGGACACTAGCGCCCGAGTCACTGGCTTGTACCCCAACACCAAGTACCACGTAACTGTGAGGGCCTACAACCGCGCTGGCACTGGACCAGCCAGCCCTTCCGCCGATGCCATGACCATGAAGCCCCGTGAGTGCCTGCCAGGGTTAAGGAAAGTCGTGTGCCATGCGGTAGGGACTTGTAGGGGCTTTGTTTATCTAGGAAACCCCTCGCTATTCCTGCCACGTGGTCTGCACCAGGCAGAAGCAGGTCAGTGTCTCTCATCTCCCCTCCCCTGGCAGCACCACGACGACCGCCTGGCAATATCTCCTGGACTTTTTCAAGCTCCAGTCTCAGCCTGAAGTGGGACCCTGTGGTACCACTCCGAAACGAATCCACAGTCACCGGCTACAAGGTGAGGCAGGGGCACACAGAGCTGCCGTCAGGAAGTAGTCATAGAGAGCTGCAATCCCTAGCAAGAAGGTCTGAGAAACAGGAGCCTGGCATTTGGGGTTAGGAAGCCATGAAACGCAGGCGCTCTGGGTGGAGGCTATAAAAACAGGTGCACGGTTCAGCTACAGAAGGGGCAGGGCAGTGATGGGCTGGGAGTCTGAGGGTTTCGCTGCTGCTTGCACACTTGCCTTCCACCAATGAGAGAAGCCTGGCTAGTGGGAAACGGAAGGGGGCAAAAAGGCAAAACCTCGAGGGTCCAGGAAGCTGTACCTGGAAACGTCTATCCTGCAGATGCTGTATCAGAATGACTTCCACCCAACTCCTACACTCCACCTCACCAGCAAGAACTGGATAGAAATCCCAGTGCCTGAAGACATAGGGCACGCCCTGGTACAGATTCGAACCACAGGGCCGGGAGGGGATGGGATCCCAGCAGAAGTCCACATCGTGAGAAATGGAGGTACTGCCCCTCCCCTCTCCCTCTCGACCCCTCAGCAGTCCTGGTCCCCCAGATACTGGTGAAGCGATTGTCTCCAGGAGCCAACTCTAACATAGACTCCCAAAGAGAAAGGAAAAGGCAGGCAAGAATGAGTAGTCACTGTCCCGTCCCTACCCCAGAACCACCCCAAGGCACAGAAGGGAGTGTACCTCTTTTATAGAATGAAAGGGGGCTGGGGACCAAGAGCAAAGGCCCCGGCCAGTGCTGTATGGGTAAAGCCGAGAACACCGCTGGTATTCAGCCCTTCACCGCTATGGGCTCCTCAGGAGAGCGCTCGGTCCTACTGCGAGGGTAGGGCTGGGGGCAGGGGGCTCCACCCCACAGTTTTCACTGCTGGTTTCAGGCACAAGCATGATGGTGGAGAATTCTGCAGTCCGCCCCGCCCGTCCTGGCCCCTTGCTCTCCTGTGTGGTGATACTGATGCTCACGGGCTGCCAGAAGCTCTGATCTTACCACTGCCTGCCACACCCAAGCTGGACACCCGCCCTAACGGACACAGCCCCCCTTCCAACGCCAAGGTAGTCCAACACTGTGCCTGAGAGTGGTTGGCTTAGACCCAACAGTACCCTTTTTGTAGGAGGTAGGGTATCTCTATTCTGCCGCAGGATAGAAACCATGTAAGGAATTTTTCTTTGAATCAGGAGGCACTGGGCAGTGACTTTCATGATTAACACTGGGCCCAATGCCTGGACCCCTTGGGGTCCTGGACAGAATGAACAGGCCTTTGGACAGAAGGCATTTAATACACATCTTCAGATCAAGCGGATGGCCCTCTGGGGTCACACGTGGGCACTGCCATCTGAGACAAAGGTTCCAGGCCCAGCAGGAACATGGACAGCAGCAGGCTGAAAACATGGCCTAAAAGTTTCCCTCTCTGAAGCAGAGGGACCTACCTGTCTTCTAGTCCTCGCTGGAGAAGCAGCGCAGCTGGTCCCGGCCTGGTCTTCCATGGCTCCCTGGCAGTCCTTCCTGTTTGGTAGCCAACAACCAGACCCCAGGTTACTGGGTTGAGATGCTACAGCACCTGATGGAAAGGGTACCAGCCTGGGGCCAAGGTCCGTTCATCATGCAGGTGGCACTGCCCTCTCAGCCAGCACTGCCAACCCAACCCTGTCACCCTCCAGATTGGATGACGGAGTGACAGAGCCACTCTAGGTGGCTAGGGGACTAAAGGGCTTGTCTTGCGGTGTTGCCTTGCCCCATCGAGATGCCTCCTTCCTGGCCCCTCCAGGGTACAGGCAGATGCCCAGCTGAATGCCACTCTTCCCTTCAGCTCTGCCACAGACGTATGCCTGCCTCCACCTCCCGTAACTGCAGGCCCTGGAGACCAACCCTCAACACAGCATCTGTCCTCCATCCTGGGAGGGAAAGGCCTCTGAGATGGGCCAGCATTAATGTGGCCACGCCTGCTTCCAGGAGTACCCTCCACCACCTGGCCACAAATGCTCCCTAAGCTGCCTAGATTACTCTCTCAATTCCCCAGAAGAAAAGGGGGTTAATAAAGGGGGCAGCCTACCTTGAGTTCGGGGTACATTACAGTGACAGACCAGACTACCTGAACTGAGGAGGCCTTATAGCTTGGCTGGCCCACACCCTGTACTTAACAGATGAGGAAATGGAGGTCCAGAGGGGGTTAGGGACTTCCTAGGGTCCCATGGCCTGTAAGTGACAAGACTTGGGCAAGCACCAGAGTCTCCTGCCTACCTGTGGGAGGAGGCACTGTGGAGGAAGGAGGTGTGGGGCTGAGCAGCCACCTCCTTGTCACTAAGGAGGCCGAGGATGAGCCCTCTACTTCAAGAGGTTCCGGCTGTGAGAAGATCAGCATGGATGAGCCAGTCTGGACAGGAGTCCTTGGCCAGCTGAGGCAGGCTTCTGCTGGGAACTCAGGAAGTGGTGCTGGCCTGTGGTGCTGGCCGGAAGCTTCTCAGGCCCTCCAAGAAGAGAGGCCAAAGCAAGGACAGAGTTCCCGAGACCAGGACCCTGTGGCAGCATGGCCAGGAAACCCCAGTGTCCACACCTAGGCCCACAGGAACTGCAGGGCAGGCGTCTCAAGAGGCAGCTGCCCTGTTGCTCCATGGCCCATTTCTGTAGTTTACAGTTAGAGCTCTATTTTGTTATGGGTTTTTAAACTTTAAGCCTTGCTCTGTTTTCCTGGGCAGGTTTATGTTAGGATTTACCCACCACAATTTTTTAAAGACGTACACCCGCACACCTTCTCCCTACTGTCCCCAAACCTACCCCCCAGCTAGGGACTGCTTTCCTGGAACTGATCAAATTCCCCTCTCCTGCTCCTGGCACCTCACATACAAGGGTGCTAGGGGCTCAGCCATGTGATCATTCTCCCTCACCAGGACCCCAAAGTTAGTCTAGCCTCCTTCTCTACCCCGTGATGGCTGAAATTTGGCTTGGGCCTAGCCCTGGAAAGCCCAAGCTAACCCTAGAAAGAGGAACAGAAAGAAACCTTCCAAGGTTTATCTATTTCCCACTGCCTTGGGCTGCAGGCGGGTGCTAGAGAAGACATCCAGTGGCTGGGCACTTAGGATTATAGAGAAGTGGGTGAAGTGGGTATCTAGGGTGAGCTGGTTTGGCGCTGGACCTAGCTTGGGTTGCGGGAGGCTGCACCTTTTCTTCTAACAAGGTCCATGAAAAGCAGGCGAGCTGCTGGGAGACCCATGAAGACTTAGCCCTGTGCAGGCAGAATTTGTTTGGGGGGGATGTGGAGCTGTTCCAGTCTGGGGTAGTCTGGGGCTTCAAGTGGAGTGTTGCTACAGTGTCACAAGACCAGAGGTGACTCACCAACATGTGAGCTTGTAAATAGGAAAAGATTCTTGCTGAGGAAACGTGGATTCTAACTGGCTTAGAAAAGAGGGCTAGATTTAAATGGATCCTCAGAGACTTCCTGGCCAAGGGTCCTCCTGACTTCTACAGGCTAGGGAAGCTGGTGGTCTTGCTCCTGCTGTGGTCATGACTGTTAGGTTCCATCCATTCACATTAAACCACAAGAGGTAAAAGGGACAGTCACAAATAAGTACTCTGCCTGGGCTTAGTGGGCAGCTTAGTAGTCCCAAGGGCTAGGACAGAACTACCTGCAGATGTCTCATGAGGGACAGGGAAGTGCTCTCTGTTCTGTCTGTACAGGGACTCAGGTCACCACGGAGCTCTCTGCTCCTTGCCATCTGATGGTGTGGATGAAGAGAGTGGTTCTGCCATCCAGGGTGGCAGGTGACTCCCAACAGCAGGGGAGCAGCGAGGGTATGGGGCTTGATAAAGGACAGGAGAGATCAAAGCCAAGGGTGGGAAAGCCTGGAGGAATGAGGAAGGGGCTTCTTTTGAGTAAGCTCTGAGCAATTCTGAGTGCTCTTGCGGGATCTTGGATGGGTGAAGTCCTGACTTAAGGGGTGGGAGGTACTGAGTCCTTCTGGAGCTGAGATCCTAAGAATCAAAACGCCTAACACAGGAAAGCCTTAGAGGTGCCATCTGCTATGGTTCCCACAGCTTAACAAAGCCATCAAAGGGACTCACCCACCACAGAGCAGTCCTTATGCACTAGTGCCTTCCCCCATGGGCATTGCCTCTCCTCAGTCCCCAAAGCCATCCTTGCCTGTGCTCTGGCCACGAGCTCAATGTGGCTAGTGAGGTTTTCTTCCCCTCATGCCTTCCTCGGAGGGCGCCTTTCTTTTCCTAGTGTCGAATAGCCAATAGGACTCCCTGCATGCCAAGGGACAGCAATGTGCTCATACCTGTTACTGGTTCAGGTGTGGTGTCCTGTCTTGCTAGCCGAGACCAAACCTGGCCAGGAGTCTCTGGGTGGGATGAAGAGGGACCCTAAAGGATGTCAAGAAGCTCACTGGAAACATTTGCTGGTGGCTTGGAATGGGATTGTACCTCTTGAACCTGTACATATGATCACAGGCTCTGGGAAAGCAGGGCTTTAAAGGAAAACTGCAGAGGAACAAAATAGGCCAGCCAGCTTTGTCCAGAGTCCAGGAAGCCCCAGCGGCCTACGGCCAACAGTTTCTTTAGAGGAGACTCCACCTGCCTTGGCACCAGATGCCTCCCAGTCAGCCCCCACTTTAGAGCCTGGACAGCTCAGATCTCAGGGCTTCGCTGGCCCATGGATGACGGTTCTCTGATGCAACCCCTTTACTCCAGCCCACTGTTCACTCTTGTAACGTTATTGACTCTGGTAGCAAGCAGTTCTTAAATAAAGGTGTTTTCTCAACCTGCCCGGGCAGCTGGCAGTGGCTGCGGTCCTCATCACCTCACTAGAGCGTCCCGGGCCTGTTCTGCAACTCGTACATCGCCTTTCACGTGGCCAGCTCTGAGGATGCTGTACACAGTACAGACCGCTTCCTCTAACCTGGAGGAAGACAGGCCAGGTGGCTGGTGGGCAGGCAGGCAGGCAGGAGCACAGCTGGCAGTCAGCTAACCCGAGCAGGTCTTACCTAACGGTGGTCAACATACTGGAGGGACAAAGCCACTTCTGGGTCCCCTGACTTCAATACATTTAACGTGTTGACTCTCTTGTCCCAAAGGGAAGTCCCCTCCATGAAGAGATTAATGACCCTGGCTGTTAAGGAGGTGACTGTTGCTTCTGTTCAATCAGGGTGGCTCACAAAAGTGGAACTCCCAGGCTTGACATAGCAGATGGCATTACAGCCAGGCTCCAGCAGGAATACACTCAGGCAGTCCTCATTCAAACATCACTGGTGTCAAGTGAGTAGGATGCCATGCTGGGTCCCAGCTGTTTTGAGGAAGGAAAGGAAGATGGATAAAGATCCCTCCACTTGATGCTTAGCTTTCTGACCAGGGCCCTTCCAGCATGACAGGTGCTCCAGACTTCCTGTCTTTTGTCAGCCTCTCCGTCACCTTCCCAGGGCAGTGAGACACATAGAATTTAGGGAACTGAATTGGCAGGGGGCTTGCTGCAGAAACCACAGCCGTACAGATGCAAGGAGGATCGTGCTAAGTTGCCCAGGCTGGCCATGAACGTCCTGTGTAGGCTACACTAGCCTTGAACTTGGAATTCTGCCACAGTCTCCTGAATAGCTAGGATTACAGGAATATGCCACCATGTCTGGTTAGAACTAAGTTATCATCTTTACAAAACCTATCTGTAAGTCTTGTTCTCTGCTCAATTGCTTCGAATTCTGAGTCAAAAGTCAAGAGCCCAAGGCATGCACAGAAGGCTATGAACTGAGCTATTCTATCCACCTCACCCTTGACTGCTGGCCTGCAAGAGAATGCTGGGAACGTGCTAATGTCTGGTCCAAGGGGTTTCCATCTACAGTGTGAAGCAGGACCCTTCAGCTGTGTGTTACCGAGTTTACTGGAACAGAGTCCTCCAAGGTCCTCTTTGGAGTGAGCTATCCTTGAACGTTTCCGCAAACTGCCTAGGACTGAATGACATTCCCCAGACCCAGGACTTCACTTTACAAAACATCTTCCCTCGGGGGAGCTCCCTGGGCCCCCACAAACACCCGTGTCAAAGCTGAGACTGCTTTTGTCGTATGTCTGACAACAGAGCAGGGCCAGAACCAGGTCTTCTGAAACCCATCCTTTCTGGGGTGACAGGTGTAACATCTCAGCCTCCTGGTGTGACCCAGTATGTACCTATGTAGCGAGTCACTGCTCAGGAAGCTAACTGCAAGGACATGGCAAGTCCAGGCTGTGGGACAGCATGCAAGACTACTAGACAAGCCTGGCTCTCCAGTGCACCAATCATAAGGAACAACGGGAGGGACTCGCTAAGGAGACTGGAGAGACAAACACCGAATGCAGCAGATGCATCTCTGGTACTGAACTAAGATTACATCAAAAGGCTTTAAGGTTTTGAAAATGAAAACTGGACAGAAGCCGGATGGAGGACCAACAACTGCTCAGTAGGCAAAGCGACTGATACACATGCACAAGGCCCTGAGGACATGAAAAGCTGGGTATGGGGACGCACACTGGGAATCCTGGCACTGGGGAGGTATGGGAACGCACACTGGGAATCCTGGCACCAGGGAGGTATGGGGACACACACTGGGAATCCCGGCACCAGGGAGGTATGGGGACACACACTGGGTATCCCGGCACCAGGGAGGTATGGGGACACACACTGGGAATCCTGGCACTGGGGAGGCAGAGACAGGTGGATCCCTATGGCCCAGTGGCCGGCCAGTCTCACCTCATCTGTGAGCCTCATGTCTCAGCAAAAGACCTTGTCTCAAAAATAAACAACAAAAGAAACAAAAACCCACAGTGGATGCCATCTGAAGAACTACCAAGGTTGACCTCTGGCCTCTATACCACACACACACACACACACACACACACACACACACACACACACACACACACAGAGGCAAGAAATAGTCATCTGTGTGTCTAGTTTTCAAATGATTCTACAATATCAATATACACTTTGGACTCCTATGAGAAAAGGTTAAGAACCGATGAATCTGGGCAGTCTATGGGTGGTGTGTAGGTTTAAATGAGCCAGCCTCCTTAAGTCTCAAACATCTCAGTACTCAGTGGCTGTTTGGGAAGGGTAGGTGTGACCTTGATGGAGGAAGTATGTCACTGGGGGTGGGCTTTGAGGTCTCTCTCTCACTCTCTCCCTCTCTCTGCCTGCTGCTTGAGGTTTGAGACATGAGCTCTCAGCTGCTGCTTTAGCCCCCTGCTGCAGTTACTTCTGCCATCAGGACTCTGTCCCCCTTGGTCTGTAAACCCCAAAAAACTTTTTCTCTAAGTTGCCCTTTTTGTGGTGTTTTAGCACAGCAACAGAAATGTAACTAATATAGGCAGTCACTAAACCCTGTAAAGTTAAAAGTAAACATTAGTCATCCTTTGGTCATAACTTGAACTGAATTAGCGCCCCAGACTGGGGCTGAGGAATGTTTAGTGTTCAGAGCCATCCAGGTGACTCTGGCACAGCTACCAAAGACAGCAATGGTGCAGGAGAATTGTCTGTATTCTGTCAATCATGTTTTACGTAAATGCTGATTGGACATTAGCCAGGCAGGAAGTATAGGCGGGAAAACCAGACAGGAAGTAGAGGTGGGGCAATGAGAACAGGAGTATTCTGGGAAGAAGGAAGTTCTTCACTGTCCTGCCCAGACCACGGAAGCAAGATGTGACCTGCCTCGCTGAAAAAGGTACCAAGCCATGTGGCTAACATATACTAGAATAATAGGCTGATATACATTATAAGAGCTAATACGCAGCCTGAGCTAATGGGCCAATCAGTTTATATCTAATGTAGACTCTCTGTGTGATTTTCTCTGGGACTAAATGGCTGGGGACCAGGCGGGACAGAAACCCCAACAAGCCCAGCCCTCATGTTACAGAGCAGGGTCTCAGGACTCTGCCACTCCTGCAGCTAGACAAAGGGGAGAAGAAATGCTATCTCACTCTCGGCTGGCCCCCAAGGGTTCCATAAGCCAATTATCTCAGACTCTGTCTAAATGATCCTCAAGGGCCTTAAGACTGGATTTCCTAAGGGGAAGCGAAGCAACAGACCTCCCTTGAGGATCTCGGTGGCTGTAAGAAACCACACTTGGTCTTTCCAAGAACACAAACCCTAGGTATAGACAGTGCAAAGAGGCGCAAGACAAAGGATTGTTGCAATGATCAGGACATTCAATTTGATACTGAGCTCAGAGGGCCATCTAGGGAGGACAGGGAGGGCAGAGAACCTATTAACACTAAGACTGTCTATCAGCTGGGTCAGTAGTCATTGCCTGTCAACACACAGGCAGCCAATACAAAGCAATCTGTCCAAAGCATGTTGTAGGAAACCCAAGGAAAATGAGAACCAGGTCAACTATGGGACAGTTTCTACACGTGAGAAACTTTAAATCAAATAACAAAGGGTTAAGTTGCCATACAGTTACTGTGAATTGTTTTTATTGAACAAAAATAAAAGTTTCTACCCAATCGGCTAATAGTACACTCTGGTCCATACACACTGTTCAGAGGTGGAGTGGAGGTGATGGCGCACACACACCGTGAGATATGGAGAGAAAAGCAAGCTTGGAAGACACAACTCCCCTAGGAACAGAAGCAAAACCTGCAGTGGGTTTCCTGAGCAGCCAGTATGAGAAAACCTGAACACAATAACTGATAATGCTGCCCTGCACAGTGGTATAGGGATGAGGCCGCATCCTCCAAGCCTCCTAGCCAGCCTTTGGCTCTGAAAGGCCTCTCTTGCCACAGTCTCGCATAAGCTGGCTGAAAGGTTATAGGCTAAGGCTGTTGTTGTCATCAATCCTCTTCAGCACGCTGTGGACAGCAATGTTCACTAGCACGCCGCCAACCACTCCACAAGCAATCCCTATGCCCAAGGCTGAAGCCACTTTCTTTTGCCACTTTGGGAGGTGGGGCTTAGAATGGTTGTCCAGATTAACTTCCCAGCCGTCATCGAGTAACTTCTGGTCCTCAGTAAGGGACTGATGGAAATTCAGGTTTACCAGCTTTGGAGGGAGGACCCTCAGCCCAAAGTAGAGCCTCTTGACAAATCTCAAGTTTCTGAGCAGCTGCACATCACATCGGTATGTCCCAGAGTCGTACTCATAGGCGGGTTGAAATCGCAGAAAGTGAGAGTTGGCTCGGAAGGGTTTAAAAACCTCATCATTAGTAGAGATGATGCCCCGAGCAAGCTTCCAGGTAAAGCGGAAAGCTTCCTGTCCCACCTCCAGGATGTCTGGGCTGAGACAGCTCAGCTCAAACTCCTCCCCATGGACAATGGTGAAATGGAGCATCCCACAGATCCAGTTGGTCAGACACTCCAAACGCTGGGACTGGCACTTCCTCCTCATTCCATCAGGACCCACCTCGCAGACAGTCTCCTCCTTGTAGCCAAGGCCACAGGTAACAGTGCAGGCCGTGGCATTGACAATGACTCTCCCCACAGCTTGCTGTAGCTTCTCAGGGATGGCGAGTGTTTTAGGTGATGTCAACATCAAAGGCAGGTGGATTATCAATACCAGACTCCCAAGGATAAGACGAGTGGCCCCAGTCTTCATGGCTCAGTAGGCAATTTACCAGCAGGCATTCCAGATAAACACTGCACTGTAACACAGATCCTCCAGCTTGAAATAACCCTTAGTGTTGAGAGATTATGATACATTGCTGTCAGCAAAACAGACACATGCACGCATGTGCACAGAAGTGCAGCCCTTCTTCCCAGGTGAGCACAGGAGGGAAAGACTTACACTAGTGATGTCTGACTACGCTTGCCAGAGCCACCCATCCTCACAGGTGCCATCCTCGTCACTTCCTCCTAATGAATTTACGCCCACAGGCTTGAGAACAAGAGGGAAAAGACCTCAGAAGCTGAAGTCCACCTCCACATTACCCCAAATGCATGAGTCCACTCTTTCCCTCCCTCCCAAACTGTGGGAGAGTTTCAAAGTCCCACGCTAAATCTGATCAAACAGAAAAACCAGTCTTAAGGGAGGGGTGAGGTGGGACTGGGTTGCAATGTTCATCTGAATACCTTGACCTCCCTATTGTGATCGCCCCTAAACCACAGCTATAGAAAAGATAACTCTGGACTGGAGTCACTTGACTTCCCAAATTTTTACTTTTCTTTCTTTGTAAGCTAAGATTGCCCTGCCCAGATTCAGGAAGGTTGCTTTGAACAGTGCACATACCCCCCCCCCCCAGTGTCAACTACCTTCATTTGTAAAACTTTTAAAGGACTGGGGAGCAAGGTGTGGTGACAACACCTGGAGGCAGGGGCAGGGTTGCTGGCAAATTCAAGGCCAGCTGGGGCCACAGGAGGAGACCTCTCTCAAAAGAAAAGAAAAAGCTCAGCAGAGCTGGCGGGGTGATTGCCCAGCGGGCAGGAAGTTCTAGGTTTGATTCCCAGCACCACACAAACTGGATGTGGCAATAAATTCCTTATCCCAGCACCCACCAAGATCGGAAGTTCCAGGCCATTTTCAGCTACAGAGGAGTTAAGAGATACTAAAGACATTAATGGGTGTGTGTGTGAAAATTTAACCTAACACACCCTTCCAAAGGAGCAAGTGAGCCTGCGGCAGAGGCAGCCGTCTTGTTCCAGGTACTCTCTTTCCCAAGGGAATCAGGATGTTGAAGCTGCTTGACTCTAGAATGCTCTATTCACCTTGCAGAACAGAGGAGTCACTGTTTGTTTACATCAGTGAGGGTTGCTATGAACAACTATGATGGTAAGGATGGGTTCTTAGCGACAAGACAGGATGGTGAGTAAGTAGACTCATTTGGTGTTCGTTAAAACAGCACCACCAGAGCAGTGGCTCTCCACCTGTGGGTCACAGCTCCTTCAGGAACTGAATGACCCTTTCACGGGGGTCACTTACCAGATACACTGAGTATCAGATATTTATATCACGATTCGTAACAGTAGCAGAATTACAGTTATAAAGTAGCAACAAAAACAATTTAAAGGTGGGGGGGGTCACCACAACACGAGTTCTGAGACATCTTATTCTTTATGAGACAGTGAATATTCAATATGAATGTTAAAGTTACTTAATCAGAGAAAATGACTCTCAAGGAAGAGTGTAACTATATTTAGGCTAGCAAAGACCTTGGAAGGCTAGACCCTCTAGGACATACTACTGTCATCTCTCAGAATGCCTAGCACTGTGGCCTCTTCAAAGCCTGTACTGAGTTAAAGAATATGAAAAGAAATTCCTAGATGACCTTTTTTATTAATTAACACCAGCTTTTAGCTCAAATCATTTATTTCTAGTTTGTACAAAGGAAGAAATCCAAATTGCCTGACCTTTCCTGATGACCACAGAGAAAGATCTAAACTCCACATTCCATTCTATCAGCCACAGAACGAAGTGGCTGCTGAGCTCCAGAAGCAGGCAGCTTACAAACATCTGCACTTGTGGTTTAATAAACATCCCATTTTATTTACAAAGCATTAAAGCTTTAGCAAGAAGTACCCAAGGCTAAGTCTCATCTTGTACAAAACTACAGAATATTTTAAGAAACAAATGGAGAGGCGGGGGAAACAACAAAAAGGAAAAAAGAATATACATATATCACACAAATCAAAATCCTAGCTCCAAGTAGACGGGAGGCTTTTGAAATGACGAAAAATTCCCAAAGCATAAATAATGATTAGGAGCTGCTGTCAGCGACAATCTGGCAGGGTCTGAACTGATTTTCTCAGTAGCCAGGCAAGGGCAAACAGACGCAGCGTTAGCATCCAGGTGGAGGAAACCAAGCCACTTCACACAGGGAAGGCAGAAATCCCTGCACGTTTGCACACTACAGCGGGTGCTGTACAGAGACACGACATGGAGACAATATCTACAAATAAAAACGTGTCCTGTGAGCCACTTACCAATCACAACCATTGGTCTCACTCACACTTGAGGAAGCAGCACCGCCAATGACTCTAGAGACTTCCTGCAGTGTCCACTGTCATTTCTACCCCACAATATAAAGTAATCAACGGGTTTGGCTATCTCAAGGAGCCTTCACCGACTGATAGAGATTTCACAATTAGCATAGTGTTTAACCCCCTTTCAATGCTGAGAAAGTATGACCCACAGCAAGCCAAAAGCTTACTAACTAATCCTTCCCACACTTGGCTTCCTGACTTTGGATTTTCAGAAAATTTCAAACACTTATTGTACACATCCATCCAATTTGCTATTTTTATTAAAAGAACAGCAAATGCAGAGAGAGCCAGGGTGAGAAAGAGAAGGGTAAAAAAGCTAAGCAACCTTTCACAGAAAGGAAGTGAGTGAAAACACAGGGGGCCTGGCTCCAGGAAGAGACACACGATGGCTGGTGGGAACAGGTTCTCCACAGGCAATGATTTAACGAATGAACCTCATCTTTGATTTGAAGCAAGCTGCTGCTTTGATTTTGGGGGTTTCCACGTCAGTCCTCACACGGTGCCCCACCCCCATGATACAGAAGCTTGTGGAGAAAATACCTTGCTTTGTTTCTAACTCTGGAAGTCAACACAGGTAAAGTAATACACAAACCACTGCTGATTCTTAGCAGGAGATGGATAAAACTAATCCTATCCAAAAGCCATGATTATTCAGACAGATCTGATACTGGAAAACATGCAATGCAAGGGAAGCCCCGGATTCCCTAGAGCCCAGCCCCCTGAGCAAAAGGTGGTAAGACAGAACGACAGGGCCTTCTAGCTTCCTTCCTTTTCTGCCAATTTAAAATCTTTCAAGCACTCGCTTCTCTGTACAGCCTTTATACACAATATAGAAATACAGGAAGCATCTGGGAGGTGAAGTTATGAAAGCAACAGAAAAATGCATCAGTTTTCCTAGGACACTGGTAGCAAAATTTCAGAAAAGAACAAGTCACTCAAGGACATGCACTGAGGATGGAAGGCAACAGGAGATGGGAATGACATGTCCAAAGGATGTGACTTCAATAGTTAGGTGAACAAAACATGGGCATTTTCACCAGCAACACAACCAAGTGTGAAGTTGAAGTGAGTCAGATCTGATGTCTTCACGCATCCTCATTCCTGAGAGCCTATTTGGACTTATGCTTGAAAGGGAAGGCAGGGACCTGCGCTCTTCTTCCATAATTCACTTCTTCATTCAAACATAAAATCCACTCCTCCCACCTCCTGGGCGGAGGAAAGGCCTTTGTTTTCAATTCACGCCAATCTCAAATGACTGGCCACACTGTCCAAAGGCTACCTGACGACACAGTGAGGAGAACGCAGTGTCACCGTCTTCATAGCAGTTCTGAGATGGCTCCTCCTGCTAAAGAGATGAGACAGGAGAGATTTCCTTTAGTGTCACAGGCACACATGGGCCAAGAATGTCCCATCTGAAGAAAAGTACATAACCCAGTTCCCAGTCACTCTTCATAGAAGCAACTGTCACTCTAAACCCAAGTCCCCATCCAATACTGTTTCAGTATTGTCCCGATGTGTGTGCAGAGTGTGAATGCATGAACCTCTACCTAACTGCTGATAACCAGGCTCTCGGACGATCACAACAGACAAACCCCAGGATACCGACCCTTTCAATCTTTCATATATTAGACTAATTAACCAGTCACTAAAGATTAACAGTGAACAAGACATCCCTGTCCCAGCCCTACTGTTCCTTAAGTGACATTTGTATCAGTTTGGAACCCCAGATAACGTACACCATTGATGAAAGCTACTATCTGTGTTTCCATGCACTGAGAACTGGTAAGTGAACAAAATCCTAAATAGTAAGATCCAATCAGAACTTCCCTGATGACTCCATAGAAGCTGTTCAACTTCTGAGGGAATCTTTAAATGGGCTGCTGTGAAATATTAACTAGAAAGTATAGAAAGAGAACAGATAAAGAAAAGTCTCCTGGATGTAACTTAAGTGAGGGATTACATGATGCTTGGAGTTGTAAAATGGTGAAAATTAATTGCGTAAGTAATGAAAGAAAAGCACTCATTCACAAAGTTGCTTTGAATGTTATTTTTAAAATGAAATTCTAATAAAAATGAAAACTGGCAATAAAAACATACTCACATTTGCTGAGACCAGACTGAAATGAGCACAAGATACAAGCTTCTCTACTGAATGCTACACTGTTAAAAGCAAAACTGTAATTTCCAAAGATGTTTGTATTTGACAAACAAACTTTTCAAATCTCCTTCAATATAAAATATAAAGAATTTCCTGAGCTGATTTAAAACTACAGATAACAGAACACAGTCTACTAGACTCAGTTTATTTACTTCTTTCACGCTGGTCTCACTGACTGCTCCCAGAGGTATGTTGACTGAATTTTCAGTTTACAAATTAACACAGCACCACCATTTTAACCATTAATCATGAGGGAGAAAAGTGGTTTGATCACAAATAGACACCTTTAATAGGCACTCAAGACAACAAACGAGCCCCTTCTACTGTACAAAACAGTTTCTATACTATCCACATTCTTATGAAAGGCGTGCGTGCATATTTACACATATAGGCTTACTCAGGCATTAGGCAACAAACTAAAATCAAAGCAAGCAATACTATTAGCAAGGTAATGTATGAGAAAACAGCTCAACAAAGGCCTGCAGCATCTGCCCATGGAAACAATATTGAGTTGCATCATACAGGAAATCTCCAGCAGTATAATATTAAGAAAAATTCCGTTTAAGATGAACAACTACTTTTTGTCTCTCCTAGTAGGAGACTAATTCAGGATGGCCAAAGAGAACATTCTACATGGTTTCCAATCCTTCACTATCAGCTAGGAGGGTCCCACAGAATGAGACAGCAGGATCCTTAAATTAGCCTCTGCGTGACCATTTCTAAGAGAGAAGAATGAGAAGGAGGAGGAGGAGAACAAATGTAGAGTTCACTCACTATTGAGCATCTAAGACCAAGATTGCTGTAAGGGATTGGAGGCGGAGCTCTGTTGCAGAGTGGTCCAAGGTAGGGCAATCTGCACAGTAACCAATTCTGTAAGAGCAGCTGTAAGAGCAGCTCTCCTGCCCACCTCCACAGATCAAGGCACTGGCGTCTACCATAGGGGCAAGGGGATACTGCATGATGTGATAAACCAGTCCTTTGTGGCATTTTGCTGATGAGGTTTACTGCTGAGGAACCTTAGGTCTTGGGTAACAAGGAAAATAGAGTTTGTGTTCTCACCTCAAACTCAGAAAGAGCTTAAGGTAACAGAAACAGAGACATTAGACAATGGTACCAGCAGGCCTGTCCCTAGGGAGTCCCTAACTCAGGGTTACCCTTACTAGGCTTCCTTCTACACACACACTTCTCATGAGTGCCGGCCCTCCTATGCCAGTCAACACTAATGAGTTGTGTGAAATCAAAGAATTTTCAGTAGCCCCAGATTCCAGATTAAGAGTGGTTCTATTTGCCTTCCCCTGTCCCTTGAAATCTGTAATCTCCTGTACTAACCTACAATAGATAATGGCAGTTTCTTGTTAGAACAATTAAGGTTTACAAATGGATTCTGCAGTAATTGGTCAGTTGCACATATTAATAAACAGTTGTCATTTATCCAGCTTGAGCAAAACACAACTTAACCCTACAATTCTGCCTTCAAAAATTTGACTCTAAGCACCGGACTGAGCCCCCCAAGGTCCAAATGAGGAGCAGCAGGAGGGAGAACATGAAAAAGGAAATCAGGACCGCGAGGGGTGCGTTCACCCACTGATCCAAGGGGACTGATCGAATGAGAGTTCACCAAGGCCAGCTGAACTGGGACTGAACGAGCATGTGATCAAACCGGATTCACTGAATGTGGCTGACATGGGGGCTGACTGAGAAGCCATTGACAATGGCACTGGGTCTTGTTTCGTCTGCATGTACTGGCTGTTTGGGATCCTAGTCTGTTTGGATGTTCACCTTCCTAGGCCTGGAGGGAGGGGGGAGGAACTTGAACTTCCCACAGGGCAGAAAACCCTGACTGCTCTTAGGACTGGAGAGGGAGGAGGAGAGGGAGTGGGGGGGGGGGGTGGGGAGAATGGGAGGGTATGGGGGGGAGTGGAGGAAGTGGAAATTTTTATAAACAAATAATAATAATAATAAAAAGATTATGGGATAAATGAGATACAGAACTGCTCTCTTAGGAATAAATATTTTACCAGTTCCAAAAAAAAAAATTGACTCTAATGCAAGAACTGTCTAGTTAAAGGGAGTCCACAGAAATGAACCTTGAACACAATCCCCAGTGTAGACTGGCTTGTTTCTACAGTGCTGAGAGCAAAACCCAGGGCTCTGAACACACTAGACAAATCCTAACACCAACTTTTATCCCTAAACCATGGGCTAATTTTCAGAGATCTCTGCTATAAGCATTCTAAATAAGATTTACTTCTTAATATATGGTGAAAAACAATGGCTACCCAGTATCTTTTACTGAAAAATCTCTGGTACATCAAATAAATGAGTTATTTGTGAGAATTCCAGTTTTCCTCAGAAGTCCCTGAAGGGCCACAAACAAATCAACAGCAGGTCCAGGTTTTACTTGCTTCAGGACCCTCCAAAAACCACCGTGTTATTGAATGAAGCCCTTACCTCAACCAAAGAATCTCACACAAAAAAAATGAGTTTATCCTGAGAGTGACATTTCTAGAATTATCTGGGACATCCAGTGTCACCACTCACAAATTTGCAGCCCCAGAAAGTTCCAAACTGTACTGAACTGTCAGTAAAGCCACAGGCAACCCTCTGGACGTCTTGGAACCATGCCTCAAGATCCCTGCTGAGGTTTTGCTAACAGTGCTAATCCCTAGCACTGTGGTATTTAATCTGCTCTGGAGATTTCCATTCAGGAAAAGATCAATGAACCAAGGACAGAGAAGAAAGGAGAACATGGGGAGAAGGACACACAGCTGCATGGAGAAGCACACGCTGCATGGAGAAGCACACGCTGCATGCAATCCTGAGGAGCTGAGGGGCTGCAGGGGACTGGAGCTGCTCTGTCCCTTATGTATCCTTCCCTTCACCCCACCAGGGACAAGTTCTCTAGTCCTCCATAAGGATAAAGCTGTTAAAACAGTTGCCTCCCATCAAGGCTGACCCACTTCAGTGCTCAACAAAAGAAATTAGAAAACAAAAAGCCGACATGAAGTACCCTGTTACTAAAGACACAGTTCTACCTTTAATGCTTCAGTACTTCCTTCAACTTGAGGCTAAACAAAGTGACAATGGGTCATCTCCAAAAACACCCTAGACAGAAGTACCTACTCTTAAAAGAATAGGCTGTAATGCTAGCCAGCATATATAACCAGTATGCATTTCACATACAGTTCAAAGTTTTACTACAAATTCTTTTCTGCTACTAAAATAATAACACTAATGAATCTGAGGAATAAAACAGCATTCTCCAGGACTGGGTAAATTTCCAACATTTTGATGTTGGGTCTCATTTAGACATTTAGTTACTGTGGCTACTAGTGAACATATTAATTAAAATTGAAATTTTAAGTCTATTATTGAGAAAGATAATTTAAAAATTCTGTAGTGGTTTATTTACCATTTACTATATATACTTTCTATTGAAAAGCACAAAATTAATTTTAACTAATAGTGTTTTGTTTTGTTTTTCTGGTGATGCAGCTCAAACACAGGTTCTTGCATAAGCTAGGCAAATGCTGCTCCACTGAGCCATACCAAAGGGCTTCCAAGTCCTTATAGGATGGTTCTGAAGAATGGGAGCGGGGTGTGTGTGTGTGTGTGTGTGTGTGTGTGTGTGTGTGTGTGTGTGTGTGTGTGTGGTGTGCTTGTCCACACCCTTAATCCCAGAACTCTGGAAACAGACAGGAGGATCTCTGCGAGTTTGAGGCCAGCCTGCTCTATGCAGAAGCATGGAGACTATGTCCTAAAGTGTTTTAATTAATTTTATATATCTGGCCACATTTTAAATCACGCAACTGGACTTTCTGTGGCAGGAAAATGTACTCAAACTTCAGATCGGATTTCTTCTGAGCGGACACCAGCAGGTGCACACGGCCACAGAAAGACCACCACCAACTGCTGATGTCAACAAACTGCTCATCTGTAGTCAACTGCTGACCTGTGGTCCTTGTCCTGAGTCCTTTATCCACACACAGCTCAGGACTCAGTATGCAGGTGGGAACTGCTTACCAGGAGCTATAACCACTGCTGCAGGGGACTCCCCTACTCAGTATGGTACTGCAGCATGAAAAATGCAAGTCCTGATCCAGCGAACTTAGGGGACTAATGACTCAGTCTGTTTTTAAGTTTCTCTATAGAAAATAATTCCTATTTATAGGCAACAATTAACTAGCATAAGGTACAAACAAATTGAACAAGGAATTCTGCCTTGCATTCTATTATTTATCATATGTGGATTAACATATTTAAACTAAATTTTAAAGTAAAGGAGAAAAAAACTAAATATAACCACTGACATTTTATCTATCCTGCGTTGAATAGCCACAAAAAGAGAATATTCTATTAACAAAAGCACGTCTTTTATGTGTGTCCATGTGTGTATGTGTGTGTATCTATCTAATGAATATATACAGACTTGTGTGTGCACACGCATGTGTGTGTGTGTGTGTCTAATGGATACAGATAGACTTTCAAATCTCAAGGTGTGTGCGTATCTGTCTGTCTAAGGAATATATACAGGCTTACATGTGCACATGAATGCGTGTGTATGTCTAATGGATACACACATTCAAATCCCAGGGACATCTGAGTGGAGATGAGCTCTAACTTGATCATTGTTTTTCGAACAAACACCACTTAACTGGTTCCCAGGTATTTTCTAGGAATTTCCATTTCTTGATAAAACTCTCTCAATCATGTATCATGTGTTGGGGGCTGATGTGACTCAGATGTTAAGGGCTAAGGCTCATGATCAAAAGGACCCTTAGATGTTAGGAAGCTATACTGTATCTTTTTTTGCAATCTCCTCCTATTTTCAGATACTGGGGGAACCCTCAAAGCCTTTATGGTACAGTTACAAACTTCTCCTTTCTCTGGACTGTCAAGAAAGAACACCACACCTTGGAGCACCTAACAATATGAGGATGCTGAAGTTTAATAGTCAGGTGCTACATTAAACCAGCTTAGTTTTTATTTCTGGCTACTGAACCATCCACAAATGAAAACTTAAAAAACAAACACTTAGGGCAGATATAGTCTAGGACATGTATTGGCTGGAGGCTCGTATCTTTTTGGGTCAGAGATTTTAATGGAAAGTAGGGGTTTCTCCCCAGAAATACTCACATAATACTTTGTAGTATCTGAAGGAAGTAGAACCCTTGTAGTCTATTTATGAACCTAAGGTTTACAGCCAGTGAATTAAGTCAATTTTGGTTTAGCTTGCCTTTAGCAGCTTAAAATCCAAAGACTACTTGGTGCTGGGGAAAAGGAAGGAAGAAAGGGAGGGAAATCCCATTGCAGTTAAAGGAAGTCAGGAGCTGTACAAAGCAAGGCCACAAAGCAAGCCAGACAGTGCTCCCAATGTGTCCTTACCTGCCAAGGGCTGGCTGAGTTCCGCCTGCACTTTACCCTTCGTTGATCCTTCCAGAGGTAAACCTCTGTCCCCTTTGTAGAGTTTCGGTTTAAATGGAGAATCTTTCTCTTTACCTTTTGATCCTTTAGGCCGGCCTGCTTGCTTCTTCTTGGATTTGCCATCCCCCTTCACACCCAGTAGTGGATGGACTTCTGTAGGAGGACAGACACCCATGAGAAACAGTCCACACCACTGGTCCCACATCCCAGTCAGACCTTTAGTGCAAAAAGCATTGCTTTTTATAGCCCACATCACTCATCGGAGGGAAAAAAAAAAATGCGTTGTTTTTAAAACTACAAATGAATGGCTACCACACTGACAAATACTTTTAGACCAAAAGGCGTACATAGTCTACATTATATGGTTTATACCAAACCACAGCAGCTCCAAACTGAAAAACAGTTAAAATACCCACGCATTCTAAGTCAATCAAACCCAAACAGGAGTGTGTGGACACAGCACACAGCACGGGCATAAGCGATCAGAAAACAAATGGACAGACCAGGGCCAGAGTCCTGAATCTACCATTTTCTGTGAGAACTTGGACAAGTTATGCAGCTTCAGCTCAACTTCTCTCTTTTATAAAACAAGAATAGTAAAATACATGCAGGGTTGATGTAACTACGAGCAGTGGAACAAAAACTAGACGACACTGCTGCCTGGACTGGAGTACACAATCAGAGAGTAGGCCGTTGTATAGTTAATTTCATCTATTGTTAGCTGTAAGAGAAAAGAATGGAAGGTGTCTGACGCTAACACCACGCCGTCCCTAGCAAATCACTGCATTACATGGCAACACAAGCTCCTGATCCCACTGTAAAAGTGGAAAGGGAGAAATGGCCGTGCAGGTCTGACTGGCACTTTAGCAGGCAGTAAAACACCTCTATGGAAAACAAACAAACAAACAAACAAACAAAAAGATGAGCAGTTCAAGGAAACAAATTCTAAGTCATGTATCAGAAGACAAAGTATGTCATTTTAGGCAAGGTACTGGAGGGCAGAACATCCCCATTTTAAATGTGAACACAAATGCAAACATCACAGAACTGTGAAGCAATATAGAAAAAGACTCATGGGAAAACTCCTTTAAAGTAAAAATGGCTCAAAAGGAAATTACTCATTTGTGCCCAAGAATATAAGTCAATGTATCTATAGGCACTGGAATAAAGAGGCGGCTCTTACCATCATTCGGCACTCCTTGGAGTTCTATATTGGTTGTTTTAGGTTTCTTCTTTGGTGGCTGGGACCCATCTGCTGAAGACTGCCTCTTCTTCTCTGAACTAGCCCCTTCGTCCATCAAGGAGGTTGGGACTGCATCCGGTGGGGGGCCATATGGATTTTCTTCAGGGTCTTCTACCTCAGGGGCAATGGGTAAATACAACAGAGCCTTTGAATCCTCCAGCTCTTCATCACTATTCGGAACAGGATCAGACAAGGGATTGGAAAAAAAGAGGAGATAGTTGCTTAAACCACAGCCCTTCAGCCTTTCCTCTAGTGCCTACATTGAATACACACAACAGTTACAGACTTAGACTTTTAAGAAAGACGAGATGAAGGAAAGAAACTGGGTAAGAGAACTATATCCATAAATCATAACCATAAATAGACTAAGCTCATTACTGCAGTTTCTTTTCTTTTTTGTCCCTGAGGTTTCTCTGTGTAGCCCTGGCTGTCGTGGAACTCACTCTGTAGACCAGGCTGGCCTCAGACTCAAGAAATTCACCTGCCTCTACCTCCAAGTGCTGGGATTAAAGGTGAGGCCACCATGCCTGGTTTTATTTCAGTTTCTTAAAATCTACATCACATTTTGTTCAGCAAAGGGCTGTTTGCTAGTCACACTACTAAGCAGCTGAAAGTGAAGGGACAGTTGGGGGAACTGGGCAGCGCTCAAGACACAGGAATGATACCCAGTCTTCCAAGGCACTCACCTGCTACAGAAGGCAGCGATGGGATCCACGCTGGTAACATCTACTTCCTCATCTTCAGCAGCATCAGCCCCTGTAGGACAGAAAATTGTAGAGGTTTGAAAAGAAATGGAAAACTGTTTTTTGCCTGGGAATAATCCTTGCTCATTTTACTCGATTACTTAACAATAGGGGCTGAATTCCTACTAGACATTAATACTGGAAATAGCTGACAATCAAGAAAGTTGGGAACGGCTCTTCAGTAAATGTCTCAGTCTACCCAGGAAACAGATCATTTCAGCATAAAACAATAAATGCTGCAGTAAAATAATACACGATGGGGAGACAGGAAGAGGGACTGGATAATGTGGACACCTAAAAAGGTTCACAAAACATAATCCAAGACTACCAAAACCATCTGCAATGCTCTGCATTCCTAGAGGTATTCCCAAAACACAAAAGGGAGCAGTTTCCAAGCTGGAGAGATCTAACTTCAACCTCTATTCTCTAATTCCTACACCATGAAGTGTTCCAGGTGTCAAAGATCTGGGGGCATAGTAATCGTATACACACACACACACACACACACACACACACACACACACACACACTGTGCAAAGTTCTATACTAGAAACCACGAAGATAAGTCAAATCTCAAGATAGTGGCAATGCACACATGTAATCTCAGCACTGGGAAGATCGGTAAGAAAGATTCGGGGTTTGTGCTACATAATAAGACTCTTGTCTTCAAACTTGCAACAAAAAAAAAGTCAGATCTTTATTTTCAAGAAGTTCCTATTCAGAAATTTGGAAGATGAAATTAAAAATGGCAATGACTAAGGTCATAATAGTGAAAGACTTTGGGGTTATTCTTACAGGCTGGACATACATTAAGTGCTTTATGTGAACTATTCCATTTACCCTCTACAATGTGAAGACATGGGTGCTACCATTACTCCACTTGCGAGATGAAGGATTCAAGCTTAAGTATTTTGCCCAAAGCTGTCTGGTACCAGAACCCATGCGCTTGACCTTTCTCCAGCTGACAAAGATGTAACAGAAGACACGACACAAGCTGAGCCTGAGCACATCTCTGTGCTGTGCAGGGTGCTGTATGCAAATCCCGACTTAACCATCTGTGTCTCACCAGGAAACACACTGTGATGCCCATGTGAACCTTTAACTCGAATCTAAATGAAGGCTCCTCAAGCACTGAGAAAACGACTGTGCTTAAGGAAGAAGGTGACAGATAAAGCACCGACACAGTCACAGCATTACCTGTTTGCTCAGGCTCACTCTTATCTTCATCTTCAATATCAAACTCTGATTCTCTTTCCTCATATTCTACATTTTCATCCAACTCTTTGAAATCTGGGGCAAATGCACTCCAATTTTCCTAAGACAAGACAGGTAAAGTCACCACATGAAAAATCGGTAACCATGTAAGTTCTAGCAACTTATATTCAACATGAAACAGACTAAACATTCTAAGATTAAACTTGGGGTAAGAGAATAAATTTTTAGGTATCTAAAGTGTTTGCCACTATGATGTATTTTCTATATAAACATTTCAAGTTATTAACTGCATTTTCTCCATAAATAACTACATCTTTAATCTTTTTTAAGTGTACTTCACAAAGGTAGTTTAAAAGTGTTCATCAATATACAATAAACTGAGCTGGAAATAAGAAAAGCAAAATAAATGTTAAAAGGTTGCAGAAAGTGTGTATACATGGAAACAAAGGTGGAAGCCAGCTCAGGACAAAGTGAAGTGAAACCAAATAAAGTTGTAGTTAGCTCACTCTGTATAAAGAATTTCTGATAAAAACAAATATTTAGTTTCAAAGCAAATCAACCAGAAAAATACTTACTACTTGATTTTGGGCCCAAATGGACACCACTCCACTAGAAATAGAAGCTATGATGGGTCGAACTGGATGCCACTAAATAGTAATTTAAGAGAGAGAAGAATTGTCTATCAGCACAGATTTAAGTCATTCGAGAGTGTGTGCACAACCAAAGCGATACACTGCTCTCTCTACTCACAGCCACGTCCAGCAGGAGTTCTCCTCTGGTTCCGTGCAAGATCTTCACTAGGTTGCCAATGCTCTTCTCCCAGATATACAGGGCATGCTGCCGAGCAGAGCCCGCTACTATATATTCCCCATCCCCAGAGAAGCAACATTTTTTCCATGGGGTCCTAAAAGACAAAGAATATCCCCAAGAGAAACTGGAGCAGGAGCCCAGGGAAGGTCAGTCACATCCTCTCCTGGCAACAATACCTACCTATTCACCAAGTCCTGCAGTTTCTGCATAGGCTCGGGCTCTCCATCCCTGCCACACGTTAAAATCTCTCTGCCGTCATAAACTCTGATTATTCGATCTGCTGTGTTAATTAAAAAGCAACTACAGAAAGGAGAGAGATTATTGACTAGTCAGACATCTGTCCCTGTTAAAAACTTCTATACTCCTTAGACCGGCACCACAGACCACCTAGCTAACTGGAGTGAAATTAAGAATGGCCAAGATTCAATGCTTATATATCTTCTTGTCACTCCAAACCAATGAAGTGAAAATATGTGTGCTTTGTCCTGTATATTCCCAAACCTCATGTTAATACTGTCTGGACTTAACTGAGATCTAAGACCTCTGAACTGAAGTGAGCTCACTCAATTCACAAGTTCACAATGTGCAATATTCAATAATTAAATACTGCATTTATCTGGCCTGTTTCAAACATTGTATGATTATTAATGAGTCAATAAGCTAAATGTATATTTTATAAATTATGTTTGTTTGGGGAGGGGTCTAGAAGAAAGCAGCTGAGTAAGTCATGGGGAGCAAGCACCCCTCCATGGCCCTTTGCATCAACTCCTGCCTCCAGGTTTCTGTCCTACTTGGGTTTGTGCCCTCACTGCTTTTAATGATGAGTTGTTATTTGGAACTATGAGCAAAAGAAACCCTTCCTCCTCGAGTCGCTTTTGGTCATGGTGTTTCATCACAGAGACAGTGACCTAACTCAGACAGGCTGTAAGCATATTTGGGACTGGGGATGTACCTCAGTTTTAGAGCACTTATCTAGCATGAGGGAGGCCCTGGGGTTCTGCTCCTAGCACTGCTAAAGGTAAGTACGTGAAATATTTAAAATTTTCACTCGGTGCTATGTGCCAGGCATTTTGATTCTAAGCAACAAGACTTAACATCTTTTCTATAAAGGAACTGCCTGGCAACCTCCCAACAACAAAGATGTGACTACTAGTTCAATAAGGGAAATTTTATGAACCTAAGAACCAGACAGTGAGAGGTTCTAACAGCTTTAATAAATCTAATAAATTATCACACACGGTAAATATTATTATTTGCACTCCACTCACTTAAGAAGAAAAACTAAGAAAATCAAAGACATCACTGGGTGTGGTAGTGCCATTCCATAATCTTTGCACTCAGGAGGCTGAGGTAGGAAGACCACAAGATCTGGACCTGCCTGAGCTATGTGGTGAGATTCTGTTACAAAATCAAAAACTCCATACACACAGGAAGACAAAGCCTCACTCACCTCCCTTTCCGGGCAAACTCAATTGACTTAATGGCTGTAGTATTGCTTGTTCCTGTTGTTACTCGGAAGGAAGCAACAAGATCCTGAGAGTCTGTTTTTAGGACCAAGATCTGAAGTTTACAGAACAAAAATAAAAAAGTAAATATTCTGAGAACTACTAGTAATCAGATCTGACTTGTTTTTAAATTGTGCAGAGAAGACATAGCAAAAGTCAAGCATCTCGAGTCCTATATATTCCATCTCATTAACTGATACTATGTTTTACTTCTTTCAATAAACTACAGAGTCTTAACCATCTACTTTTAAAACACGATGTTTAACATTATTCACAACAGGCAACACGTGGAAACAACCCTAGACTCCACTGACAGAGAAACAGGTAAAATGCGGCATAAACATACAATACGATTAAACTTTGAAGAGGAGGGAAATTCTGACACACGGTACAACACAGCTACCTTGATGACACAATGCTGTACGAGATCTACCAGCTGCAAACGGGGAAATACAGTATTATCCCACTCCTATAAAGTGCTTACAGTGGTCAAATTCAGCAGGAAACGGCCTGACAGCCGTCAGGGGCTGGGACAGCCCTCTCTGACAGCTGTTCAGAGTCTGCAGAGGCTGCTGTTGAGTACTGCTGAGCTTAACACTGTAAATGTTTAAGAGAGTTTAAAAGTTTGTGTGCATCGGCTTCAGTTCTTCACGCACGGAGGCAAGCACTCTACAGCTGTTAATATTTATCTTAATCACAATTTTTAAAAAACTGCTACCGGAACAAACACCTACAATGTACTAACCCCCAAAAGTCTACACTTCCAAACACCCCGAAAGAACAAGTTTAACAAGGAAAAAAAGATAGTCTCAGTACTCTAGTTAAATTGGCCTTAAATATACCATGTTTCTTTGTGTGAATGTGCACGTGTGGATGTTTATATGGGGTTTTTATACAACTAGGTATTAAAACATTTTTATCAGCATGTTCTAGATGATGACTTTTAAATATTATTCTCTTCATTACTACTCCTGGTCAAGACCCTGCTGTCCTTTCCTGTTTTTTTCTGGCGCTGGGGAATAACCACAGCCTCTTACATATACAGCAAGCACTTTACAGCTAAGTTACACCCCAGCCTTCTCTCTTCTTTTCCTTCTCTCAGCGTCTTGAGAGAAGCCTTGCTGTGCAGTCCAAAGCTAGCCTGGATCTCACCATTTAATTCAGTTCTTGAACTTGGAGTGATCCTCTTGTCTCTACTTCCCAAGTACTGGAAGAATTTTATAAAATAAGCTGCCACACTGTCTCCAGTCCTTATCTAAATCAAATAATCTACTCTAATTCAAAGCACAGAAACTATTATTAAGGCATTTTCATGTTCAGGAATTACTCCAGGGAAGAAAGGACCTGAAAGTAGAAATAAACATGAGCCAAGGCAGATCCCACTCTTTCTTCACTAACCTCACGGCTTACCTTGCCTTTTGCATTTCCTGTATAAATATATTCCCCTCGCCTATCAAAAGAAGCCACCACGTTCAAATCGGAGTCATCGTCTACCGGAAGAACAACATGTTTGGAATCTGAAAGGGTCAACATGACAGGAGCAGATTTCATGGGACACACGAGAACCTTGTTCCTGTTTAAAAATATGAACACATATTGGCTATTGCTATAGTATCAGCAGATTGAGTCCCTGTCCTTTTTCCCTGGTCCCTGACCACTTTCTCATTGGCTCTCCCAGCTCCAGCAAATGTGAAATGGTGAAATCACGTAAAGTCTACAAACCTAATAACAGGAACAGACTCAAAAGATAAGAGCCTATCTCGACAAATAAAATGTGATTATTAAAAATATTTAGTAAACCAGTAATACACTAATTAAAGTAAAAACAAAATACTGATTTTTAATTACATTAACAAATATATGTATATCAAATATGGCCTGGGCTTGAGGCACATATAATGATCATCATACTTACAGAGAAGTAGATTATGAGAGATCCCAAGAAGTGAAAAGCTGTATCTGAGTAATGGAATACTAGGCAATTTTTCCTTAAGTGTAGTCTTAACATCAAATTGTTTCTTCATACTAAAAGAGTCTAAAGAATCAAAGCCAGGGCCCACTCATTACATCATTCCCACCTTTGGTCATTTCCAAAGTCTTAATATTGATCAGTTACAATCTCCTTACAATATATTCAATAGAACTAACCTAAGCAGAAAAATTACTTTATATAGGTTTGAAAAGATGTTGTGTTTGCCTCTTAAAACCTCAATCTGAAGTTGTCAGAGCCCAAAGCTAATCCACTCAGAATGAGACCCCGCCCTAGGAAAGGAATATATTAAACATACTGATCTCGAGGATGATACTGGACTTTTAGGATGGGCGAAGGGAACCGAAACCTCTGGTCACAATCGCCTGAAAGAACATCCCACTGCGACACTATGTTATCTGTAGAAGCGCTCACAAGCTTATGACCATCTCGACTCCAACTATGGAAAAAACAGAGGTGAATTTAGCACACAGTACAAGGTAAAATATATATAACACTACTATGGATAAAACATTGACCTAATTGCACACGCCAACATTTTTTTAAAGTAGAGCCAAATCTATAACAAACTTTCTTATTATATACCCAGGCTGACCTTGAACTCACAACTTCCTGTCTCCATTTCCTAAGTGCTAGAAATATAGGTATGTGCCACCATGCCTGGCTCTTGCACTGTTTATTTATAGTAATGGCACTATTTCAAAATAACACTACAGTTAGTACCCAAAATAACAAACTTGAGTGTCTTAGTTAAGTTCCCAAATCAGCTGACCTTTAAGAACATGAAACATAAAAGGACCTGAGGACGTTTCGGGGATAAAGAACATGGGAGTTCCCTACAGTAAGTACTCCATCACAGCACCAACAAGACAAAAGAGACAAACATGCTATCTCAAAATAATGTGCCTGCAATCCTAGCACACAGGAGGTGGGGGAAGGAGGATCATGAATTCCAGGACAGTCTGAGCAAAAATAATAAAAATTAAGAAATGAATGGTCATATCTTAAATGCAGCTAAGGACCTAGACATTCTGTTAAACAAAGACTGAAGGTAGACTGACTAGTTAGAGACAGCAGAGCCCAATGAATGACTCAAGACTAAACTCCCTGGATTTTCTTCCTGCCTCACATATCTGGAACTAGGTAAAGAAGTCAACAACTGGATAATGCCAACAGTCACACACAATCCTCCCTTTCTTTCCCCACCCAGACAAGCCCTACAGAAAAACCTGCACTCACTCGTCCTAATCAGCATGGTCTGGACAGACAGCTAGACTTCCACCCTGACCTTGCTCTAATAAGGCCTCTATGACATCACAGATGCTGTAAGATGGCTGAGTGGAAATGGCTTCATTAGTGAGATCTCACCATCACAGTGCCTGTGAAGGCCAAACAGAAAGAAAGGCTCAGGTCCTTCTGTCCTTCCCAAATAGGATGATGTCAGCAGAGACCCATGGAGAGTAACCCCACCAGCAGCCTCTGTAAAGGGAACTCGAACTGAAAATAATAACTCAAAGTAAAAATTCAGTAGAAGAATCCAGCAGTCAATGGAGTGGAGGAAAGATAAGAAACAGTTAACTGAAAGAATAAAAATTACTCAACATGGATAATAGATTAAAACATTTTAAGTGGGTGGGAGAACACAATCTCAGGGATCAGACAACAACAAATAATATCCATGTCACCAGAGTCCTACAAAGAACAGAGTGTGGTTTCAAAGTATTGGGAGAAATAACAGCTAAATTTCTTCAAATATAACAAAAAATAGAAAAACCTACCAACTAAAAACAGGTGACTGAAATCAAACAATATAAGCCAAAGAAACCATTCCAGGAGTTGGGGACATAGCTTAGTCGATAGAAATCTTGCTTAGCATTCCCAATACTGCACAAAAGCAGGCACAGGGACACACACTGGTAATCTCCGCACTTGGGAGACAAAAGGAGGATCAGATGTTCAAGGTCATCCATAACTAACTTAAGGCCAGCCTAAATGCACAAGGCCATCAATAGCAGGAAAGAGAAACTCTCCTTTGAGTTGTTGGTTAGAGCTGCCCAAAAGACTCCCATCAAGGAAATTTCTCTCTGCAACAGATGAAGACCATTACAGAAAACTGCAACCAATCAAAATGCAGAGTAGTGGAGCCCAGTCCTAACTGGTACATGTACAACACAACTCCGGCATGGAAGGCTGGGGAGCATTACAGAAGATGGGGCAGAAAGATTCTAAGAACCAGAGGAATGGGAAGTTTGCTGTGAGATTGTGTCTCCTAGGAATGTCACGAAGCTACATAAAGCCTCACCACCATAATGGCTTAACACCAGATGAACAAAGACAACAGACATGCCAACGCGAATGGGGAAAAGCTTACAGGCCTCAACCATAGACAATGAACTACAGGCAACTAAGGAGGGTTGAGAACAAAAATTTTCCTCAGGAAAGAACACAAAAAATGGTTATCAAATATCAAATGGTCAGCCCTGAAAATATAAACATTCAAATAACATTATATGTATTGAGCAGGTTGTATTCACATATTTATGAATGTGTGTGTGTACACAGACACACACACCACAAATTAAAGAAAAATGCTATGAATTTTAAAAAGAGCAAGGGGTGTGGTACATGGAAGGGTTTGAAGGGAGGAACAGGAAGGGGTAAAATATGTAACTATAATTATAACATCAAAAAACTTAATAAAATAAAAATAAGGGGCTGGAGAGATGGCTCAGTAGTTAAGCGCACTGACTGCTCTTCCAGAGGACCCGGGCTCAATTCCCAGCACCCACATGGCAGCTCACAGCTGTCTGAAGATCCAGTTGCAAGGGATCTGACACCTTCACACCAATGCACATAAAATAAAAAATAAAAAGTTAAATAAACCATAAAAAAACAATAAAAAAACTCCAACACACAAACATATGTTGATTGTAGAAACATTCTCAATCTTAAGTCTTAAAAGTGGTAATAGGAAAGTGGCGTCTCATCTATATAAAAATAGTAACACAAAGATAACAATTTCTCATAAAAAAAAAAAAACTACAGAGGCCAGGAGTCAGACATGGTGGCACACCCCTTAAATCCCAGCACTCCTGAGACAAAGGCAGAAGAATCTCTCTGAGTTGAAAACCAGCCTGGTCTATATAGAGAGGGACAGTCAGGGCTATGTAGAACCCCTGTCTCAAAACAAAACAAAACAAACCCACAATAACAAAGAGGCTCTAAACCAAGTTCTCTAAATGTAAAGAAAAAGATAAAATGGAATCTTAGAACACTACAGGTTTGTCTTGTGCTGGTTACAATGTGTGCAGAGGAAATGTGTAAGAGAATTACATTTTATACAAAAGAGGCATCAAGGGAAAGAAGGCAAGGGCTATACCTTATCTGAACTGTTGCAAAGTCAACCCTGGGGTATTTTAGACTGTGGTTAATCAGGTGTGTAACACTGTATCTAGTAACCACTAGAAGGTACACAAAGAAACATTAAATCAATATAAAACCCTATATTTATTCAAGTAACCCACACAAGGCAGGAATCAGAGAAAGAAAATACAGAAGGAACATAAAGGAAAACAAACTAATATGCACCCACATATGAAATGAAAAATGCTTTTTATTGAAGAACTTAGCAGCCAATGCAAGAAGAATCAAACTTAACCTTATAGCTGTGTGATCTTAGAGAACTGTATAATTTTTCTGGGCTTCAATTTCTCATCTATGATAGGAAGGATAAAGTCTTTACTTATAGAGGACTACTGAAAGAATTAGAGTATATATATAAAGTTCTTAATCCAATGCCTGGCATATAAGGAGTCTTCAGAAAATGCAATCATTTGTATCAGAGATGAGGCAAATGCATTCCTAGACTCTGGGGACAAATGATGGCAAAAATAAGCTAAGGATTTCACTATGAGGGACTAAGTTCAAGTCTACAGACAGAAAGACTGGGGTGCCTTTCCTACCAGATCTACAATACCTGCAATTAACCCTGGACCTGCATATGCATACACATGCACACACACACATACATGAGACCACACACATACAAACATACCTATACATATTTAAAAAAAGAAAAAAAATCATGGGTCTGAGGTATTTATTTAAGTCAGTAGTAGTGTTAGCCCAGAATGTATGTGGTCCTGGGTTCAATCTTCAATACCACAAAAAATAAAGTAAATAAAATCAAAATTCCTTACCACAAAGAACAGACTGGATGGATGTGTGCACTAATTATTTTAGCAATGCCTCTTGTCAAGAAATCCCAAATAACAATTCGGCCATCGTTACAGCCAACTGCAAGCAGTGTGCCCCACCTGTTAAAGGTGCACGTCAGGGCCATGCTGATGCAGTCCAAAGTTCCATCAGCTTCCTACAAGACAAATGCAAAACACACAAAGGCTGCCATAAAAGACAATGCGTGCAAAAATGATCTCTGCAAGTGTGCTTACACCTTTTAAATTGATTTTAAAAATAAACAAATAATTATAAGAGCTAACCAAAACCTTTGGAAACAGTGATGATCAATCTCTCATACAAATTTCTCAAGGTCAATGAGCAAAGTATTATAGGAGTAATAGAAGAGTTCTTTGGTTCCAGGACAATGTAAACACTATGAAACAGCCTGTGTGGCTGACATTTAAAAAATTACATTATTTTCCATCAATGTCAAGCTTTATAAAGTAACCACAATGAAGCACAGGAAATGTTACAAATGCGAATTACACATAGTGATCATTATTACTATATAAGTACATTCATCAAAAATTGTAAAGTACACAGAAAAGTTACTGTATAAGTGATGGAAGTATTTGTTTTAAAAAGCCCTTTAATTAAAGTTGTGAATATTTTTTCCTTTTAGTTAAAAAAAAAAAATGAACCTTGTCGGGCAGTGGTAGTGCACACCTTTAATACCAGTATTCAGAAGGCAGAGGCAGGCAGATCACTGGGTTTGAGGACAGCCTGGTCTATAAAGTGAGTTCCAGGAAAGCCATAACTTTATAGTGAAACCTTGTCTCAAAACAAACAAAAAAATGCCAGGCAGTGGTGGCATGCATGCTTAATACCAGCAGTCAGGAGGCAGAGGCCAGCCTGTCTACAGAGCGAGTTCCAGGACATGTTCCAAAGCTACAGAGAAACCCTATCTCAGGAAAGCAAACAACAAAAACAAAACAAAAAAAAAGAACCTTAAGATTTAAAAGAATTACTGAAAATTTTCAGCCAAAATTGCATATTACCTGCTGCTCAAAGTTAAACATTTCTTTTTCTTTTCTTTCTTTTTTTTTTTTTTTTTTTTTTTTTTTTTTTTTTTTTTTTTTTTTTTTGAGGCAGCGAGGCAGCATTTCTCTGTAGCTTTGGAGCCTTTCCTGGAACTAGCTCTTGTAGACCAGACTGGCCTCGAACTCACAGAGATCCACCAACCTGTGCCTCCCAAGTGCTGGGATTAAAGACAGTGTGCTACCACTGGAGGACTGGAGAGATGGCTCAGTGGTTAAGAGCATGCTCTTCCAAATGTCCTGAGTTCAATTCCCAGCAGCCACACAGTGGCTCACAACTATCTGGAATGAGAGCTGGTGCCCTCTTCTGGCCTGCAGGAATACATGCAGGCAGAACACTGTGTGAATAATATATGTATGTGTGTGTCACATTTAATATTTAATCATCAAATAAAAGGCAATCACTGTTTACCACACATTAACAACAAAACTAAACTCACCTCTGGATAGTTCTGCCCAAAGGACTCTGCAAGAAGGCAAGAAAGAAAGTGGATGACACAGAAATCACACACAAGGACCCACGAACAGGACACAGCTCACTGGTCAAGTGGGAGGGGCTGACACCTTTTCAGGCCTCCATGAGGTCACGCTACTCATCACCACAGGCAGATGATATATCTTTCTCAAACTCTGTACTTTCATAACCATACAGGAAAGTATTCCAAAGCCGATGAGTACGGAAGCAGATGTGAATCCAATCAACTTCTATTTAGGAAACACTAAGAGATTTGTCAAAATGCAAGATTCCTCTCACTCATGTTTGTTTTGTTTTCAAAAACCCCAGGAAGTGGAAAGTCAGGGATCCTAACTCTGAGTTGTAACACTCACCTGGTGCAGCCTGGAGGTGCCCTGAGAGGGCTGACAGACTACAGAAGGAAGAACACTAGCCCTAGCGGCTACAGCCGAGAGCGCCAAGGGCGCAGCCCAGAAGCCGCTGTGTGCTGCTGTGCTGGCAAGCTGAGCCTAGAGCCATAAGTTTCCACTTAAGCTCCTAAGCAACAAGACTCTAGCTCCACAACTCTGGAGCTGTAAGTCTAGTTCTCCAGCAGAATATAAAACTGTGAGTTTGGAACAGTCCGTGAGCCTCTAGAATGCAGGGTCACTAACTGTCCTCACTGCCTATCCAGGAGTCCTATCTTACAAAACCAAAGGACCGCTTGGAACACATTCAATTATGAAAGGGACTGAAAGCAAATGCTGAAATATATCAAGAGCAGTGTTTCTGAAAATTGTTTTTAAAGTTACTCAACTAGAACAAGTGTTACATAGAAATGCGTATCTGGGACTGGAGAGCTGGCTCAGAGGCTAAAGTGCTTAATGGGAGGCACTGAACACTTGAGTTTGTATCCATAGCACCTACTTGAAAAGGGGGAGTGAGGAGTCAGGGGCCAGCAAGATGGCTGGGGGGTGGGGAATAAAAGAACTTGCCATGCAAGCCTGGTGACCAAGCTCAATCACCGGACCCCACACACAGAAGGGAAAAGCCAACTCCTGGGAGTACCCTGATTTCCCCGAGCACCATGGCAAGCGCATCTTGGCACGCACACACAAGAATAAATACATAAGAAATGTTCGATCAAAAGGTAACAGCCTTCAAAACACCTGACAAAGTAAAAACTCACATATGTTTACATAAACATTTGCTCCAAGTTTTTTTTTAAATAAAATACTATACATATTACAACATGACATGGATCCAGCCAGTGCGAATATAATCATCGGACTATATTCGCATGGTTGAGAAGTAAACAAACACGCGTACTCATTTAAATACTAAAAACAAAAATCAGGATCAGGAAGATGGCTGAGCAGGTAAAGGCGCTGAAAGCCAAGCCTGCAGTCCTGAGTTTAATCCCCAGGACCCATAAAGTAAAAGGAGAACCAACGCCCACAGGTTGTTTTTTGACCTCCACATGTACCACACATACACACACATGTATTTTTAATGTAAAATTTTTTTAAAAAATCATTTGGCTAGAGATAGGGCTCCAGAGCCTCAAAACCTATGTAAAGGGCCAAGGCCAGGAAATGTGCAGGGGAACAGGACAGGCAGATGCCCTGGAGCTCACTGGTTAGACACTCTAGCCAATCAGAGACCTCTGGGTTCAGTGGCAGACCCCATCTGAAGAAAGGAAGAGGAAGACACCCAACATCAGCCTCTGGCCTGTCCACATATAAGCAAACACGTGCACCTGCACAAAATGGACACACACAAATAGGTATCCACACCATATACACACAAAGTATTTAATCAAAAAACAAACATTGAAAAATAATCAAGAAAGGCACTGTTATGAATACCTTTATGTAATCCTAGCACTCAGGAGACTGAGGCAGCACTGAGTCTACTACTAAACAGGCATTTCCACACTTCAATACTATAGGTGAAGAGAGCTAGTCACGAAGGGTAAGTCCCGCAGGTAAGAACTGGCCTACTCTCGCCTGCCTCAGTCAACCCTTCAGACAACCTGCAGGTCTAACTTCTTCCACCACAACCGCAGAACAGCACTCACTCACTTAAAACCCTTCTCTGCTGGACAAAATGAACAGAACTCTAAGTATAATCTTGAAAAGCAATCTCAGCTTACCCTGGCCAGCACTTTTCATTTTGTCTTTGGTCTCGTATGATCAGCATCTGTGCCACAGCTTCAATTAACCATGCCGAGTACCAGCTGCAAAACACACCGTTTCCTACACCCTCACTCATTCCTGCCTAAGAACATTTGCTTCTATAGTTTTCTCCACTGGAAGGTAACCCTACAGAAAGCTCCTGTTCCGGCTTTTCGTTGGTTGCTTGGTTTGGCATCTCCATCTCAGTATTTTCAGTTGAACAGTACCTCTATAAAATTTCCACAAATTTTACATCAATCCCACCAACAGTGCAGAACTAGCTGCTTTCATATGGATTCCCCACAGTGTACTAAGACACAGCAGCTCTGTACTACACAGAGTTACTTGTTTCTCTTCTCCTGGTTGTGTTTTTATCCAGGACAAAAGCAGCATCTTATTGTTTTCAGCTGGTATAATTTAACCCACCCCCAAATGAATAAATCATCGTAGTCCATTAGGACAAGATTTTAATAAATTAGTGCAGGAAATATCAGAGAATAATAAACCATGGAATAAAGTATAATTTCAAAAGCTTCTAGAGCCTGAGAGATGGCTGAGTGGTTAGAAGCACTTGCTGCAAAGCACAAGGCCTGGAGTTCAGATCCTGGAACCCACGGAGTCCAGCACAGTCCTGCACATGCTTGTAACTGAAGCACTGAAGGGGGCTGGTTACCAGTTCAGCCAAAAAACATGAGCTCCACAGTGATAAAAAAGACTGTGCCTCAAAGGAAAAGGACAGAGAATGACAAAGGAAGTCACATGACTCCTCGGTATACATGACTTCTCTGGTCCACACACATGTGCACTCACACAAACATAGGCATACATCACACGGACACACCCATGCCAAAAATATTCTAATTGCACATGTGCATACATAGCGGTTGTGATCGTTTATTCCTTGGGCCAGTGAGATGGCTAAAGAGACTTGCTGTCAAGTCTAAGGAGCTGAGTTAGACCTCTAGAACTTCCCACATGGTGAAATGACTGCCCAATGCTGTCCTCTGATCTGCACATGCGTTGCTGCCTGCATCCTCCCCCTCACCCCCCCACTAAATAAAAAAAGCTAAAAATTAGTTGGGCAGTGGTGGTCTATGCCTTTAATACCAGCACTAGGGAGGCAGAGTTCAAGGTCAAGCCTGGTCTGCAAGAGCTAGTTCCAGGACAGCTAGGACTGTTACACAGAGAAACCCTGTCTCAAAACCAAAAAATAAAAAGAAAGAAAGAAAGAAAGAGAGAAGAGAAAAGAAATAGTTTAAACTTAATTTTTAAAAACAAAATATCTCTTAATATGATTTATATAAAAAATGAGTTTGAAAACCTATCTTAGGCTGGTGATGCTGCACTTCCTAAACACACGTGCCTGGGACGGAAGAGAGGCTGTCCTAGTAATTTTGCATCTCCAGCATAGGCCACCTGTTACACAGCAACGTCTCAAGAAGTGGTCAGATGGTCATAGAAGTAAAATTAGTCTCCAGTCTAGGATCCACCTGAGTGGCCACATCCCATGACCTATCATACTTCCTTCATTTCCTTATCTGACCAGATGTCCTTCACGGTGTTCCCACAATCACATCACTTCTGTTCCTTTCTCCTCTTATATACAATCAGTAATTTTCTCACGATAAGACTCAGTCATTTCTACAGAGATGTTTATCTTTTGGAGACTCAGGCCTCTTTTTAATTGTCAGATATGCTAAATATTCCTAAGTTTCCCCCTTAGGAAACTTTTGTATCATTCGAAGAACTTTCCCCAGGACCTGCACACCCTTCAAAAGGACTAATGTAACATCTTTTCTCTCATAAACAAGGAGAGGCTCTCACTCTCCACTTCTCCCACACCTTCCTAAAATCACTGAAATCAACCTTCATCTTAGACTGTTAACGGAGTGCAAGTTGCCCAGGGGTAAAATGGAACAGCCTGTTCTCAGTTTTCAGTCCCAACTGCTCTGCAATTAGTGTCTACAGAAAGGAACTATTAACCCATATCCTCTTCTAGCAGCTGTGCATAGGAAAATACATGGAAGGAACCTGAAAATGTGCCTGGCTCATGAAAGAGCTGCGTATGTTATGTAATTCATAGTCACTTGCTCATTTTTTTCCCTCCAAATATAAGAAACAAAAGATCTTGTCCCTGGCAATCTTCTTCTCTGACCTCTCATCTTTTCTCTTCTACCTATTCACAGGGTTTCATTAAAACCACAATGAATGGTGATCAGAAGTCAAAACTTGTTTCCCAAGCTCTCAGCCTATACTCAACATATCCAAGCTCTCTCTCAAATGCCCTTCCATCTTGCCGGTAGTGTCGTTATTGTTGTTATTATTATTATTTTATTATTATTGGTTCATCTTCTCATGAGCACTAAACTCAAATTCTGCCAATGCTGCCTCTTCGTTTTTTCTTTCCATGTCCTAGCTCCCACATTCCTTATCACTCATACACTGAAGCTTCCAAATTAGTGTTATATTATTTCAACTACACATTACTGTCAGATAAACTTAGAAATCTGTGCTTCAACTGAGCTGTCAGTGGCTCTGCCCTACCTTCCTTAAAAAGCAAACTGTACAACCTGTCACCCTTGAGCCTCCACAAAATAGTACCAGTCCAAACTCTTGATCATCTTTCTCACAATATACGTATTTTGGACAAGCAGAAAAAAAAAATCTCTCACTGGGGATGCTGGAGAAATGGCTCAGAGGTTAAGAGCACTGGCTGCTTTTCTAAAAGTTCCAAGTTTGATTCCCAGCACCCACATGGTAGCTCACTACCAACTGTAATTCCAGTTCCAGGGCCTCTGGTTCTCTCTTCTGGCCTCTGGGCACCAGGCACCCCACTGGTGCACAGACATACATACAGACAAAATATCCAGACACATAAAATAATAAATTAAAAAAACCCTCACTGATGGCTTATTTCAGACACATCTTCCACATATTTTCATACTTAGTCTGTCAGCATTATATCCACATGCATGCATGAACACTCCAAAAAGCTACCTAAAGACAAAGAACACTTTAAAAGTGAAATTTGTAACCCTCTGTCCCTTCTCAATATATATATAAAACCATTAAGGGCAGCCAAGTCATACAGGAGCTCTTGAAAACAGACGTCACCAAGCTGCAATGTTAAAACTACCTCATAGAAGGCCACAAGAAAATACCAATGTGGACAAGGAGTTGGGAGTCAAGGACTTAAAGACACAGCGAGAATAACGGTAATCCACACCTCCCTACAGTTAAGGCCCTTAAACTGGAAGACAAGATAACCAGATTCTATGTGCCAACTATGTCACTTAGTGCCTAGTCACAACACTCTTACTTTTTTAAAAAAATAAAATCTGATTAAATAACACATTTCTAGTAAGAGTTACTCTATCTAGGTACCCGATCCCGTGACAGGTCTTCACAATTTCACCCTAGGTTACTCTGCCTCAGACTGCATCTCCAAAAACTCTGGTCCTGCCTACTCTGTTACTTCAGCACCTGCGATCCTCGAAATCACAGCTCAGTCAAAAAGTGCGCCTATAACTCCACAACTGATCTGAAAGCGGCTTCGGAAAGGTAATGCATTCTTCCCGGACAGTAGCTGGATTTCCTCCTGCTGCTGCAACTCCACTCCATGAGCATTCAATGAATCATCTAAGAAGAGGGTCCCTAAGGTTGCAGCCTGTGATCCTTCCCGCCCGGTTCCCTCCTTTCCAGTACCAAAGGGTTAGCTAACGCGCAGCCACAGCCCTCCTCACCCAGCAACTCGAGGTTCATCCCTGCGGACGCTGGCCGCCTGGTCTCCGCGCTGGCAACAGTTCTTTCTCCCCCACCCGCTCAGAAGCCCCGCGTCTAAGTGGGGGGCGCCGCGAAGAGCCTGGCGCAAGCTCCGGAGACTTTCGGATTTAGAAGGCCCCGCGGCTTCCGCTTTCCTCCCCCGCTTTCCTTGTTCGTTTTACGTAGCTGTCTACATTTATCCCTAATTTTTAAAAAAGATTAAACGCTTTTTGGAAACAACCAATTATAATATTTTTGAAATACAAAAATGCTATTGTCGGTCAGAACTCCAAAAAGCGCAAGAGTGCAAGACTTTTCTCTCCGGGACCATGTAAGCGAGCAAGAGATTTCAGGCATATCACTAACCCACTAACGCTTACTGTGCTGTGTGTTCCTTAGGTTGTCCCGACGGCGGCCTGTGACTCCGCAAGAAAGGTTCCGGGTGATTCTTTCTAAGGCAGAAAAGCGGGAAAGGTCGGCCCCTAGTGTTTGAGTGTTGGAGTTCCTTGACGTAGTCAGAGCGCGCGCTAGCTTGGCTCACCCTATAGTTACCATATGTCTGACTTAATTTCGTAAAGATTATTTCACGTCTCTAAAAGGAATGTCATACGCCACGGCGAGGAGTACGATAGCATTTGTTAGGTCTTTTCCTACGGTTTTACTGTGTACACAACGTCGATTAGTACACGGGAAAAGAATTGTCAAGAGAGAGATGGACTGAGTTCCCCAGGTGTCAGATTTGACACAGAACAAACAGAGAAGACCAGCTGATGGTAAATAATGGGTGTGGGACAGGAAGTGTTTATTTGACTCTAGATGTGGTCGGCATTCACAAAACAAACAAACAAACAAACAAACAAACAAAGCAAAGAATAGCAAAGGCCTCCTGCACTAAAAAGGAGGTAAACTAGGTTCCCCTATGTCGATATAATGGCAGTAATCTAGAGGTCCTCCTGACTCCACCCCTTACAGGTATTTAATCCTTTGTGCCTCCGTTTCCTTGTGAGTAAAATGGGAGTAATAATACTACTACTTACAGGATTATGAGGATTGAATGGGTTAGCATACAAGCACCTAAAATAGTAGGTGACAGCCATTATTCAACAATTATCTTGTCCTAAATATGTCAATTTCTTGTAGCCATTTAACCCAATAACAGTAATTGAAGCTCAGAGATATTAGACAATTTTCACTCCTTTGCAGATTCAGTTTTCCCAAAATGCTACCCCAAAACTAAACTTACCGGGAATAGTCTGGAGATGTCATTCTGCACCCCGCACAATGACTTATTATCAAGTCTCTTCAGCTACACCCACTGTGGATAAGTGAAAAAAATCATTGTTTCACTTGTTTAGTAATAGTGATGAACTTTTTATATGTATACATCTTTATTTTTCTCTTTTGCGAGGCAGTTGTTTGGTGTCTTTTGCCAATTTTTTTAAAATGGAACATGCATTTTGTAAAATTTTCAAGGAAGAAATAATATGATCAAATTGATATTTAAGAAATAAAACTCCTGGGGGCTGGAGAGATGGCTCAGAGGTTAAGAGCATTGCCTGCTCTTCCAAAGGTCCTGAGTTCAATTCCCAGCAACCACATGGTGGCTCACAACCATCTGTAATGGGGTCTGGTGCCCTCTTCTGGCCGGCAGGCATACACACAGACAGAATATTGTATACATAATAAATAAAAATTAAAAAAAAGAAATAAAACTCCTGGGACCGGAGAGATGGCTCAGAGATTAAGAGCACTGACTGCTCTTCCAGCGGTCCTGAGCTCCATTCCCAGCAACCACATTGTGGCTCACAACCATCTATAATGAGACCAGATGCCCTCTTCTGGTGCAGTGTGCAGGCATACGTGCAACAGGCAGAATTAAATAAATAAACAAACAGACAAGCCAGAGGGGGGAGGGAAAGAAAGAAACTCCTCTCGGGAAGTGGTGATGGCAGGCCTTTAATCCCAGCACTTGAAAGGCAGAGGCAGGCAGATCCCAGTGAGTCTGAGGCCAGCCTGGTCTGTAAAGTGAGTTTCAGGACAGCCAGGACTGTTACACAGAGAAAGCCTGTCTCGAAAGACCAAAGAAGAAAGGAAGGAAGGAGGGAGGGAGGGAAGAAAGGAAGAAAGAAAGAGAGAGAGGGAAGGAAGGGAGGGAAGGAGGGAGGGAGGGAGAGAGAGAGAAAGAGAGAGAGAGAGAGAGAGAAAGAAAGAAAGAAAGAAAGAAAGAAAGGAAGGAAGGAAGGAAGGAAGGAAGGAAGGAAGGAAGGAAGAAAGAAAGACTCCTACCCAACTCTGTAGCACATAGCACATAACCATGACCTCAGCACTCAGGAGCCTGGGCTATATAGTGGTCCTGGTGTGAGAGAGAAGAAGGAAAGAAAATTTAAAGGGCTGTTTGTGTGTGTGTGTGTGTGTGTGTGTGTGTGTGTGTGTGTGTGTGTGTGGTGTGTTTTCTGGTGCTGGTGACTGAACCTAGAGCCTTACCCACAGACCCTACCCACAAGCTATAGTGTAGCCCTAAAAATAAAACTCTTAAGAGCATTGGTCAATAGATATTCACTTAGGGCTGAAACCTCTCCAAAGTTTATTGCGGTGATCCTGTGGAACGATGAGGATGATTCGAATCACATCTATAGTACAGGAAAACAAACAATGAGTTTGAGAGAGGTTAGGAGAAAGAATTGGAAACAGTAGAATAGGAAAGGTTTTGTGTGGGGGAGATAAGGGAGGTAATATGTCTGACACAAGTCGTGTCTTGACTTTGGGGGCTCCGTTTGCTAGTGCATAGGACACCAAAAGAAACAGCTTGGATAAGGTAGATGGATGAGCACAGCTTCAGAGACTTAGATTTAAGAAGTATATGAGAAAGCCACATACCATAAAGCATGGACTTCAAAGAAGTCCAGGCTAAAGATGTGCTGTTGTGTTTTGCCAGTTTTATAATATGCATACTTTTATATTTTAAAATCTCTAAATCAGGGATCTAGCATATATGTGATTATCCCTCATAATGAATTAGCAGTGTTTTTGTTTCGTTGTATTCTATACATTGAATGTCTTGTAATTCATCGTATTCTACTTTGATGAAAAACTGTATTGGTGGGCTGTGCTTTGTGAGGGTTAGTTAGAGCTTATTAATACTATTAACTGCCAGAATGAGGTATCTGAATTTCTTGCTGAGGAGGCCTGGAGCAGTTTGCACCTGTTATTGTGACTTTGTAAAAAAAAAAAAAAAGAAAACAAACAAACAAACAAACAAACTTGGTTCTTAGCCACGCTGAATTTCCCTCTCATTAAAATATTTTATGACCAGGCCATGGTGGTGCATGCCTTTAATCCCAGCACTTGGGAGGCAGAGGTAGGCGGATCTCTGTGAGTTCGAGGCCAGCCTTGTCTACAAGAGCTAGTTCCAGGACAGGCTCCAAAGTAACACAGAGAAACCATGTTTCGAAAAACAAACAAACAAACAAACAAAAAGATATTTTATGTCCTCCATGCATTAGGCTGGCTAGTATTTACCTCTCTCTTCAAAATTAAAAATCAGAAATTCTAGACTGGAGTATAGTTCACTTGCCCCCCCCCCCCCGAATCACCACTGGGGAAGATAGGGGTTGGGGGATCTCTGCCTGGAACACTTCTGCTTCACGGTCAACCATGAAATCCTCCGGGCAGCGGGCTTAGATAACAGGAGTGTATTTGAAAGCTCCTATGTGATTCCAGCATACAGTCAGTGTGGAGAATTGCAGTAGAGGGCTGCGGATCGCCTGATACAAGGATTAAGTCACTCTCAGAAGCGGTATGCAATTGCAGGCTGTGTTTACTGTCAGTAGAACTACAGAGTCAACGTTGTTAGAGAGGAAACAAGGACAGTTACAGCACAGCTCTGACTTCCCTAGAGAGCAGAAAACTGAGAAGAGAAGAAAAGTACATAGGCACAGATGCCATTCACTTGAAAATACATGGACAATGATGGAAGCATGTGTGCACAAGTGCACACACACACATGCATGCACACACGCACGGTTATTCCTTGCAGTAGTATCTATAGTTGTCAAATTTGAAACAGTGAAAAATTTTGAAAAGCAGGGAGCTTGAAATTTTCATTCTTATTCATTCTGCAGAAGATATCTGCAGAATATTTTATGTTGATATGATCTCAAAAATCTATAATATGTTCTAACTTTTGTGTTTATTTGTAAATAAAAGCAAATTCTTTGTGGGAAAACCCCAGGAGCTCATTGTGGTCACAGATTATGCATGAAGTGACCAGCATAATTGGTTTATCAGCATAATTGGTTTATCAGCCATTGCTGTCTCCAATTACTTGTTGAAAACATGCTCTACTATTCTTAATAAAGAAAGAATATATTATAAATAGATGACAAAACTTCTTACCAGTAAGAAGCCCTCATCTCTCACATATTCAGTTTTTTTTAAAGTAAACCTGTCGTTCAAAAGTGACAGCAAAGGTATGAAAATAATATAATTGTCAGCACTACCTTCCACTAGATGTAGCCATGCACAGCTGAAACCCAGTACTCAAGACGCCAATAAAGGGTGACTTCAAACTAGTGAGTCTGAGGGCAGCCTGATCTACAAGGTGCAACCCCCCTTTGGGGATGAGAATGTGACTCCTCCATAGAGTCCTTGCCAAGCTAGTATGTGTGAGACCATAATCCTCAGCATTACAAAAACAAAAAGAAACACTTGGTACAGCTTTGCGACAAGAAGCTTCAGAAATATGAGGAAAATGTTTTTCTCTAGTGTATACTTGCAAAGCTAATTCATTCAGAGGGAAAAAAGAACTACCAGCCATGGCAAATGTTAAAGCTTTTAAAGACAGCCCAAGGGCGGCATCATGCAAGCTTCAATCCCATCATTTGGGTGACTGAAGCAGGAGGACCTAAGGTTCAGGGCCAACCTGAGCCATGCTATGTAGCAGGCTTCCTCAAAAAATAAACTTAAAAAAGGTATCAGGGAGGGAGAGGAGAGGAGAGGAGAGGAAGAAGGAAGGAGAGGAAAGAGGTCGAACGGAGGGGAGAGGCAAGACATCTTAGAAAGGAAAGGAAAGATAGATGGAAAGTTTCCATGTGCTCAGATTTCCCATGTCCAGCTTTTCCAGGCATCACCCCCTATTTCCAACAACTCCTC